TCTTGAGGCTCTCCTTGACGGTCTCGTCAGTACCAGGGAACTCACCGCCCTCGGCGGCGGCGGCAGCAGCTGCTGCTGCCTGCTCTGCCTCCTCTGCCTCCATTTCGGCCATGCTAATTTCCATAGTGGCAGTCAGATCCTTCATCAAACTGATCTCGCCAATCCAGTCTACGAAGGCCTCACCACCGAAAATACTTGTGAAGAACTCGGCGGGATCGACGAAGCCCTCGGTGGGCCGGGCAGACTCCTTGCCATACTTGTCGTAGGCTGTGCGCAGATCGGGATCGGACAATACTTGGTAGGCTTCACCAATAGCTTGGAATCTTTCGTGGGCGGTAGGGTCGTCGGGGTTCTTGTCTGTCGAGGGCAAGAAAGAAAACGATGTCAGTCTGCTATTATTTGACAAGCCAACTCGCAGAGGGAGTAGTGCCGTGACCTACCGGGATGGTGAACAATGGCGAGCTTGCGATAGGCCTTCTTGATCTCGAGCTCAGTCGCAGTGGGCTTGACGTTCAAGACGTCATAGTACGCGGTATCGACCACCATGGTGGCGGTTAGGCAGAATCGCAGAAGATAGGACTTGTGAGTGGGTTACGATTTGGTCGTCACCGGGAAGTGTTGTTGGACGGAAAGCAACGGGTGCGTTTGCTCGGTGTCGATGATGGATCGCGATTTTTGGAGGAGTCCGCAGGTGCCGATCAGGGACTTTTAATCACCACGGCAAAGGGAAGAGAGGACGTCGACGCGCCCTAGTGAAGAGGAAAGGAAAACTAGAGGTCCCTTGACAGTGTTGAAAAAAATAAGGAATTATTCGACACGGGAGCGGAGGGCAACAGCAAAGCAAAGTTGATTGACTTTCTGGTCTGAGGTGAGGACGACAAGGTTGAAATGTGCCAATGGCCCGATAGAAGGTGGGAGATTGTAGATGGAACCTGACACAGCCCAGTCAAATTACGTTGACGTCGGTCGGGTTGTCAGGTTGCGACGCTGGGGGACTAAACTGCCCGGGCACTGAGAACGTGTCGGCGCTGTCAACTGAATGCAGCGCCACTGGGTTTCAAAGTGCCAATGCGGCTATCTGCTTGCTGACTTGGTTCCGTTCAAGTGTTCCAAGTGGAAGTCGAACAAAAGTTTGGATGCAAGTTTGGATTTAAACCCAGCTGAGCGAGTACAGGATACAGATTCGACATGTACAACACAACGGGACGGACGACATGGCATCTGTAAAAGTCAAAAAGTCGAGCGACAGGAAGCCGAATGCAAAATTTCACGAGGAAATCCGACCCAGGAAGGAGCCTCCACTTCCCTTCTGCCTCCTGCTGCCCCTGTGCTACAGCGCTGCCGCAGTGCTGTTCGTCAGTCTGTGAAAGTGCCAAGACCGAAAGCTACGTACCCAAAGTGGGCTGGCGGGGTTTGACGGGGTCCGGCCTGTGATGATCGCGATCCTCCCCTGACGTCGGCCTGCATTTCAGTTTTCACCGGCCTTTTCCGCTGGTTGTTCTGGCCCGTGTCAGTGTCCAGCCAACGGTGAGGTAAAAGCCGGACCACGGTGAGCCGTGGCCGGTGATCGGAGCCCGCGGATGGATCTTTGAACACCGTCACGGACCCAATCTTTCGGCCGCCGTTTCCGTGTTGATTTCCAACGCCGCCGAGGCCGGAAAACTCTCACAAATCCATGATAACACAAGCACAGTTGGCCAACTCCCACGCAGTGCGTATCCAGCCTAAATTCCTGAGACATTCCAAGTCCCGTCATATTCTTGGCGGCGCATCACAAACCCTAGCGAGCCAAGCAAACCAAGGCCTTGATAAGTCGTCTTCATTTCATCGCTAATAACCACAAATGATCTGGTCCTTCGGATATCCACCTGTTCCATGAAACTCGGCGCAAAGCACCGCCCTCAAGAAAAGAGAAATGACAGATAAATCCCACACTTAACCTTCAACCGAACCAAATTCAACGCCGAGACTATGTCATCAAGATCCTCCTCAACGGGAGTTACCGAATCCCCGCCGCTTTCATCCGCTCAAAGCACCGCCTGTACGCCTCGTGCACTTCGGGTATCTCATAACCGTACTCATTCAAGAGCTTGCCTGTTAACTTGGTGGTATCGAGCTTGCAGTTGCTGCGCCCAGCCTTGATCACTTTGGCTTGCTCCTCCAGGCTAAAGTTTTTCCACGTAAACGTCGGCCGCACGATATCTCGAAAGAGCGTCAAGACCTCATTATGCGAAATGGCCCCAGGGTTCGTGAAGTTGTAGATGCCCACCTCCCCGTGCTCGGCAAGCAAGATGGACGCCGGCAAAAGGTCTGTCAGGATGGTATTGCTGTTGGGAATGTCCACCACTCTCTCGTACTGGGTGATTTTGGTCACAAAGTTTCGCGAGTGCAGGTCGTCTGATACAGGCATTCGCAAACGTAGGATAAGGCAGTTGTTGTAATGTTTCATTATCTGGACCAATTTGTCAGCCCCATGTTTACGATTATAGGCCAAACAAAAAAGGTCTCAAAACTTACCTCTTCGACATGAGCCTTGGTCATCGAATAGAAGCTGCCCGCAAAGTTGGCCGGGTCCGTCTCCAAAAAGCCAGGACCATCCCATGAATGAGCATCGTCGTACTGGTAGATACAACCCGTTGCAAATACGGTGATGTGGATACCCCTTGCAAAGCAGCAGTCCGTCAAGTTGAGGGTTCCCACGACGTTGGACCTCATGGTGGCCTCCCTGTTGTCTTCACACCAGTCCACATTGGGCCGTCCGGTACAACCCGCTGCGTTCAACACATGGGTGGGATTCACTCTGTCGAGCTCCGCCAAGACAGCCTCTCGGTTTTCCATACGGATGGTGGTTCTGTAGACCTCCTTTCCCTGTCTCTCTAGCAACGCCTTTAAGTGACCCGCAACCCATCCATCACCACCCCAAATAAGAAAGCGGTTGGGTTTGCTGCCCGTTCGTAATCTCGGTAGCCATACTAAGGGTTGTTGAGCCGTGGATTCGAGAACAAGCCTTGTTGAAAAGAGGTGAGAGGCAACAGAAACGAAGACGATAAGAATGCGGATGGGGCAACAGAGATGCACTTATGCTCTGGCTATGTTACCCTTTGTACGGTACGACCTTGACCGCAGCGCGCAACTGAACAAACAACTTGCGGAAGTGAAGAACCACGGTGAGGGAACAAGCTAAGATGAGAAGAGGGAGGGTATGGCATGATATAAAACGTCCCCCCAAGGTCCGGAGCTGGGCCCGAAAGCGCGGTCTGGATGAGCTGGCCACATAGAAGGAGGTCAACCGAAAACGGTACAGAGGTGGAAGGTACCCGCTTGGTAACCATAATGGGAATGCCACTTGGTCGGGTTGCATCCCAAGATGTCCAGACTCCTATCATCCACTTGGATGGCTTTGCCCCTTGAACCCTTGAAGGCGGTAGATCAGGATCTGTCCCGTCGGGTGGGAAACGCGGGGGAGAGGGAAGGAGAGCAGGAGGGGAACCACCCGATGCCACGAAAGGCACGAGAGCGGCATTGGCGGCCAGCCGTTTTTCCCAAAAGTCCATATCAGATCCATGATAACCGCCTCATAGGGTCTCAGCTCTAGATGGATGTATCAAATCCGGATGTTGCCAGTGCATCACGTCCCTCTTGAACATGGCCTATGTGACGGACGACGTTGTGATCCATACCTAGCCTCGCTATCTTATCGAATTATACCGCAGTACGTGTACTTCGGGTCTCCGTCGATGGTATCGGTGTCAGTGCTTGCCAGGGTTCGCCTTTTTGTCATCCAGCTTTCGAAGATGTCGTCAGTCTTCTGTATTTGATGAAAGTCAATAACGGCAGAATTGGATATTGTCGATTCGTTTCATCAGTCTCCCAGGCCCCTAGGCCATAAGATTCCACGGTTCCAGAAACCGTGCTGCTTCCGAGACTCTTTCTTCTAGACACGTGCGTGCTCCTGACAACAAACTTGCACTCAGCATTCCGATTGAGAAAACATGCCGCGGGAACGGACCCTGACTCCACTCATCTGGAAGCTCGGAATAAAACCCCCGCAGACGCCAGACGCACACAAAACTGCAATCGACCAGAAAGCAACCTGCAACTTTTTTGTTCTTCACCTTCACCAGATCACTTGTTCCTTCCAATTCAAGACCCTTCGACATGAGCCAGATATCGGCAGCTCTACAAACACCTTCCGAACGTTACTCGGCGGATGTTTGAGCGCGGATCCTCACACTGGCTCAACCAAAGAAAGCTACGAATTCGGGAGAAGTTGCCCCTCGTTTGTGAACAGCAGCAGCATCAAATCGACGGAATGTTAGTGCAAGGCACAGCTCGATGAGGCCTGTGGTCACTTGGTGAGCCACCATTGACCAATGAGAAGCTCACATTGACCCCTGACCGCCCGTTGGTGCCAAGTTGGTGCCAAGCGGCGCTGTGCAAGCTCGGGCCACACCACTCCCCTCGGTGCTGGCGGCGCTGAGGATTTTCTCTCCTTCCGTCCTTTTCCCCAATCTGTCAAGACTCCAATCTGTCCAATCCCACCTCCAATTTCCGTCTCTCCTGCCAACCCAACCAACCAGCCCGTCACCCACGACACCCAACCAACGCATTCCAGCACGGCGGTTGTCAAGCTTGAAGTGCGAGCTTCCTCCAGTGACAGCTCACCTCCCCGGCTCAAGATCCCCCCTTTCCGATCTGGCCAATTCAACAAACTCGTCCCTTCCCGGCAGAATTCAAAACTTTGAGTGGAGTTGCGACAGCCCCAGGAAGAAGAAGCAACCTTTTCTTTTCCCCTCCCACCTGGACTTGGTCACCTTTTTTGCAAAAACAACACAATAGACTCTTGTATTACATACCACTTTTCTACCCATCCCACGCGCATTGGGACCTTTAATCTCACTTACGAGACCCCAACGCCTAATTCGTCCTAATCCATCCGGCCGCCCGATTGCGCCGAACCCCTGAGGTTTACCTCCACCGCCTTTGCCTCTACGCGCAAAGCTACAGACACGTCGAGTCCCAAACTCAAACACACATCACCAAAATGGGCGCTTTCACCAAGGCCGCTTATTTCCTCCTACACCCCAACCAGTTGAGGTCCATCGTTCAATGGTATGTGCCCTCATCCTCCCATCCTCCCATCCCACTTTTCCCCTTCAACTCTCACTGGCTTGTGCTGTCCATATGCTAACCCGAACCCTTGCACAGGAAGGTATGGCATGACCCCGTCCACAAGCGCGACCCTTCCAAGGAGACCGAGACGGAAAAGGCATGCTTCCGCCATTTGGAACTGACCTCGCGGTCATTCTCCGCCGTCATCCAGGAGCTCAACCCCGAGCTCCTGATGCCCATCTGCCTCTTTTATCTGGTACTTCGTGGGCTGGATACGATCGAGGATGACATGACCATCGATCTCGCCAAGAAGGAGCCCTTACTGCGCGGGTTTGCCGATTTGATGGAGATTGATGGCTGGACCTTTACCGAGAACGGCCCCAACGAGAAGGATCGTGAACTTTTGGTCCACTTTGATGATGTCATCTCAGAGTTGAAGAAGGTCAAGAAGCCTTACTACGACATCATCCGCGAGATCACCGTCAAGATGGGCAACGGTATGGCCGACTACGCCTTGAACGCTGAGCACAACACCAACGGCGTCAACACTATCGAGGAATACGAGCTTTACTGCCATTACGTTGCCGGCTTGGTGGGCGAGGGTCTCACCCGCCTGTTCGTTGAGAGTGATCTCGCCAACCCAGCGCTCCTCGAGCGTATGGAGCTGACGGAGAGCATGGGTCAGTTCCTCCAGAAGACCAACATTATCCGTGACATCCACGAGGATTTCGTCGACAAGCGACGATTCTGGCCCAAGACGATCTGGAGCAAGTATGTCAACAATTGGGAAGACATGTTCAAGCTTGAGAACCGGGAAAAGGCTCTCCAGTGCAGTTCCGAGATGGTCCTCAATGCGCTCAAGCACACCGAGGAGTGTTTGTTCTACATGGCTGGTATTCGTGACCAGAGTGTGTTCAACTTCGTCGCTATTCCCCAGGCCATGGCCATTGCGACATTAGAACTCGTTTTCCGCAACCCAGCCATCTTTGAGAGGAATGTCAAGATCACCAAGGGCGACGCCTGCCAGCTCATGATGGAGTCGACACAAAACCTGCGCGTATTGTGCGAGGTGTTCCGCAGGTACGCGAGGAGGATACACAAGAAGAACGACCCAAGAGATCCTAACTACCTGGCAATCAGCGTCCAGTGCGGAAAGGTAAGAATCGTCACCCACATCTTTCGTTCTTTGGTCCATGCTAACAAATGCCTCTACAGATCGAGCAATTCATCGAGTCCATTTTCCCCACCCAAGACCCCAAGAAAATCGCACTCACCCAGGTTCAAAATACCAACGCGGAATCGGTTAACACCATGGACACTGGTGAAACCACTTTCCTGGTCGCGTCCGTGCTTGGTGTCCTGTTCGTTATTGGCGGTCTTATGGTGGGTATTTCTGTTCGTCACAACAACTTCCGCGTGGTCGGCTTGCTCGTTCACATGCTAACAGCTGTATAGATGGGAGCTGCGTGGCTCATGGGTGCTCGATTCGACATGGCCTACGATGACATCACATCAAGAGTCGGCACCTTGGTCAAGGGTGCCGCTGAAGTCTCGAGTGTCACGGTATCCAGCATTACCAGCATTCCTACGACGGTGGTGCACCAGGAGCTGTAATGCACCAGCGACCAATTCGACCTATACCCTTTAATGACCGGCACCTGATTGGATCTTTCGACACCATACACAGACGACCAACGATCGATGGATTTAAGCCAGCATGTAATATCTCATGTGATATTGAACTAGCGATGACTTTCGTATGACTTCGAGGCGAGTACCTTCCTGCGCGGGCGATATAAAGGTAATTTTCTGGTTTGGGAGACGCGGAAAACCGGGGCGTTCGTGGTCGGGGAAGGGGTACGGCGATGCCCCTTTTTATGTTCCCCGGCCCAGCCCCTGATGAAAGATCGGTGTGCCTCGTGGCCTGGGTTCCGAGGAACGACAACTACTAACATTGTTTTAATAAACGACCTTTGAACCTTCTTCCCCCTTCTCCGTTCATCAGAACTGGGAATGGACAGTCAGTCTCTCCGATGACTGCCCTTCGTTCAAACATTGACATGACCCTGAATAAGCAAAAAACTAGCACGGATGTCAAATTGCAATCTAGACCGAGTTCCCTCTTCATGGGGGAACCATCAATGGCTATGGTTGTGCCGAAGATGTGCTGAAATCAAACCTCACCCTGCAAGTAGCCTGGTATCCGGGCACGTCGTCATCATGGTCTTACTCTCTATGGCGAGGAGTCTGTTGCCGGCGGATTGCGTACATTTCCTTGTTCAAACTTGATCCTATGAATATTCCCTTAGAAAATACCAATCCAGAAACTATTCCTACCTTGCAATGTGCGCTCCAACGTCCGAGTGAAGCAGTGAAGTAAAGCGTCCACGTACCTGCTGATTGATCACGGATTTGGTACCGGTAAGTGATGTGACACCACGTCGAGTAATTATCCCAAAATGCAAGTCGGGACGGGCGGGCGGGTAGAGATGCCATATTATATGACAACGGTACGCGTCACAGGCTGACTGACTGGTTCGTCACATTTTCGCTTCTCTAGTCTTTGGCGAGGGTGAGACGTTCAGACGGCAAGGTACCGTACGGGTCGGGACCTGCATACGTACCTGTTTCACCACAACACCCACCTCTTCCCCGACCTGCATCAGAGACACAACGTCGACCGAGGTTAGGTAGGGCGCGTCTTGATACATACCATATGATTTCGGAAATACGCTGGGGTGGTGCAGAGTGCATAAAGAACTTCAACCGGGACTGGGGTGGGTGAAGAAAGGGAGGGAAGAGGTCAAAGGTGAGTGAGAGATATGTGGTACAGCCATCCATCCATACCTAGCTTTGGGCAAAGGAACACATGAGGTTCGTTCTTTACGTCCGCCAAAAGTCAACATCCAACCGACTCGACTGTTGATGGTAAGCTGAGTAAAGTAAAGGTCACACAACACAATCTGGATATTCTTTTGGGCCACGAATGTTTTTGCAATGACTTGAATATTTAGGAAGAAGAAAAAAAAGAATTATCCAACAGCCAGCCAGCCCTTGATCGCTCCATCCAAACAGTCCAATCCGGCGCCTCGCAAATACAAGTAATGACGACGATGCTCTCTCTCTCGCTTGACTGACTAGTATATACACTTTGACTTTGACTTTGACTCTTTTCTTAGACAACAAAACAACACTTGCCTTTTCCGAATTTTCACACCCTACTAACAATGTCATAGTATTGAGTTTAGATATTGCCATTGTTAGCAATCAGGCTCGTCGTGCCCCTAACATTGTTAGTCACCTTGGCGCCCGTCTTCTGCGCCAACTCCGTGATCCTGTTGCCAACAGCAGTGACATCGGTGATGATCTCAAGAGCCATCAGGTAAGCAGCGAGGCCAGCAACGTGGGGGCTAGCCATGGAAGTGCCGCTGAGGGTATCGGTAGCGGTGTCGCTGGTGATGCCAACACTCAAGACGTTGACACCGGGAGCAAAGATGTCGACGCCAGCGCCAAAGTTGGAGAAAGACGCGCGGGCATCGGTGCGCTGGTCGATGGCGCCGACGGTGATGGCGGCGGGGGCGGAGCCGGGCGAGGTGTTGGCAGTGTCCTGGTTCTCGTTACCGGCGGCAACGACGGGGACGACGCCCGCGGCGGAAATCTGGTTGATGGCGCTGTTGATGGCGCGCGAGCGGCCGCCGCCGAGAGACATGTTCATGACGGCCTTGCCGCCGAGCTTTTGGCTGGTGGCGGTGTCAGCGACGAACTGCATGCCCTGGAGCACGCCCGAGTTGGAGCCGGAGCCGTCGGCGTCGAGGACCTTGACGGCAACTAGGTTGGCCTTCTTGGCGACGCCAAAGGTGGCGCCAGCGACGGTGCCGGCGACGTGCGAGCCGTGGCCGTTCTCATCGGTGTCGACGTCATTGACAAAGTTGGCGGCGAAGGTGGCGCGCCCTTCGAACTCGGAATGGGTAACGCGGATGCCGGTGTCGACGACGAAGACGGTGATGCCCTCGCCAGCGGTGGTGTCGAAGATGTAGGGGGCGGCACGCCTGCTGGCGGTGGCGTGGCTGAGGCGGGCCAGGCCGGTGGTGGTCGAATTCTGAGAGGTGAGGGCGTTGAGCTTGACGTACTGGTCCGCCTCGATGTACTCGACCTCTTGGGCGGAGTAGATCTCGTTGATCATATCATCGTCGGCATCGAGAGCCATGGCACGCCATGTACCCAGCTTGAGAGACTTGACACCGGTGGACAAGACTCTGCCGGTCTTTGCGTGGCGCTTGCCTAGGTTGCGCTTGGCTACCAGGGAGGTGATCTTGGTCTCATGCGCACTGATGACATCCTCGTTGAAGGTGTTGTTGTAAACGACAATGTAACGCCCGGGGATGACATTGCTGATATCGAAGTTGGAGACGGGGACGCCGGCAGCGGTGCCAGCAGTAGCACCAGTGTTCTGGGTGTTCTGATGATCATGTCTCCCCCCTCGTGGAGCAGCGGTGACGCCAAGGGCAGAGAGGAGGAAGGCAGCGGCGACAGAAAGGCGAACCATGGTGACGTTCTTTTAGTGTCTTTCTTAAAACTGATGAGTGAAGGTGTCGAAGTCTAGGCTGTTACCACCTAGGATGTATAGCGGAGTGTCGTGAGTAAGTCGTATGTAAGAGAGAGGCTGATGGTCGGAGAGATAGACAGATATCGAGATACAAGGTTGCTGGTAAACGAAAGGAAGATCCGAGGCCGGCAAAGGATCGTGTTTGTCGATGTCAAAAGAAGGAGAGCGTATGCACAGCAATACGGGAAGAGTGTCCGGAGGGCAGAGAAAGGTCGTCAGTAGTGCCCACGGCGAGGAGAAGAAGCGAAGGGGGAAGAGGAAAACAAGAAAGATGGACGGAAGAACAAGTCGATGCTGGGTTGACAAGACATGAAGGAAACAGCACAATGCCATCCTATTTGAATCCCGCTCAACCCTGGCGCATGAACGAGGGTGGTTCCATCGCGAGGCCCCTTTGGAGATCCATGGTGTCTCGAACGCCTGGAGGTTTGGGTAGCCTGGATGACGAAAGGTGGTACGTCGTGACGGTAACGTCGTAAAGGGGGTCGTTACCGAAACATTGGCGAGCATGCAGGGACCGCTACCACGAACAGGACACTGGGAAATGCTACAGCATCATAGCGGTTCTGGGCTTCGTAGATGGTTCCTGAATGGTTCTGATGGTAACGTCGATGTCAGGGACGCCAAGCAAAACAAAACATCCTTGCCTGCCAAGGGGTATAAAGCTGGGGTATGCCGTCCGAATCCCACCATTCGGAGCCCTGAAAGCTGTAACGCCAGGTCGGTTTCGTTACGCTATTGGCGAGGACACCCCCTTAAACCTCAAACATCACTGTCTGGAGGTTACAGAATCTTTTCGGAAACCCACGCGACGAGTTAGGTGCGGGCGAATGTGAGCCTTGATGTGAGCTCTCGGCAGGTACGCGGTCTTGAAGCTACCTCCGTTCATTTGCCCCTTCTGAGAGTTAGAGTCTCATTCGGTTCGCCATTGGGTATGCTAGTGAATCCACTGTTGATGGCAATGTTTTGTTAGCTTTTTCTGAGGACGGCGAATGAGCAAAGACGGCCGGTAATTACTAATCTGCTAATACACTTATGGCCATGTGTGTGCCTGAATGGGATGGGAATTTAGGTGCTTCCGTGGTCCCGATCGATCTAAAAAAAATCACTGTTGGCGCCAAACGCCGTGGCTTAATGCAAGCGGACAACGGCAAGACCAACCATGCCTGAGTCGAGTGTTTGTGATGAACCTCATCCCTAGATGGAACCGGATTCAGACCAAGAAAGCTACTGTGCTATACCTCAAGCTTGTTTGCTAGTATCCGAGTAATTGAGCTTCAGCTAAAGTGCAATAGTCGGCCAGCAGTTGGTAGTCACCCCTGTTATTCCGGACTATTCCATGATAACTAACGTGCCAACATGCCGTGTGGTGTTGATGAGGCTCCGGTTTGAGTGGCAAGATCTTGGGTCAAACAGTCCTTGGCGATCGACGGCAGTGGACAAGGTCAGATACGAGGGCAAAAGTTTCGTTGGAAGATAGCTAGCCGGTGATTTCTTTTTCGTAGCTGTCCAGCGGTCACATCACCTCAAGCCCTCGCACTTGGAGAGTAGGTTTGATGCCATGATGCCGAAGAAGATAAAGGAGTTCGATGTTCGATACACGGAGTAGGATAACGTGGCATAGGAGTATGAGACTCGCAGTGTGGAGAGCGTGGGAAATTGCTGACTGTGATGACCCTGATGACGCGGATTCGATATCGATATACGAAGCTGTCGTGAAGATGGAGGCAGGTGGGGAGGAGAGGCTCAACAGATGCTGCAGTGATTGCAAGCGCTGGTTCACAGTCTGAAACATGTCGCCAAGAAATAGCTTAGCGCCTCTCCGGCTCCAGGGCAGTCTCCACCAAACGCGGGTTGTCCTCGGCGCTGCTCGTTCCCTTGCATGTTTCGTGCCTGAGTGAATGCTACCATAACGCCGGCGCCATCATTGTCATTTCCGAAATGGGATCATGTTCTGAGAAGAGGCAGGTAGTGTTGAATCTTGAAACCCTTGACAGTTGAGATGTTTAACCCCAGGTACTATAAGGAGGTCCTTGCTGGATCGGCAACAAGTCCCGACGGCACCGTAGAGGAATCGGAGAAACACTGCAGACATTAATCGGACGGGTCCGGATAAGACTGAAACCGAGAAGTTGTGAAGGGGCGCTCCGGGCCATGCAAGACGGTTGTTGCTGCTGCTCTTATTCGGCTTCTGATACGGAAGGTGACGGGACAAAATTAGTCTCTTTCTTTTCCGTGCTCCGTGGTATCTTTTCTGTGTTAGTGAGGCCCCACCTTAATCAGTGGGGTCTGGGTGAGAGTCCCGTGCCGTGTCCGGGCTCCGGAACCCGGAGCTAACTACATACAACTAATGGGCCCCGTCCCGGTTAGGCGACGATTGCTTCGGAGGGTTTGCAATGACGGGTGTGAGACATTCTTGTGTCTAGGTAGTTGCCCTGGGTGATTGACATGTACACAAGCTCGACAATGTATTTGCAAAGTCTAGACCGGGCGTGATCTTGGTTTCTTGTCGTAGTGGTCATACTGTGAGACTGGGAGATTGGTGATACCACAAACGCCATTGTCCATCACCCCTCCTAGGTAGCACCTCTCCTCTTCTTTCTCCCCTCTCAAGGTTTGTGCGTGTTGCTCAAGATGAGGTATCTTGGCCATGCATGGCATCAAATGCCCAGATGGAGTTATCGTCATGATCCTCTAGTCGTGCCGACTTCTTGCAGGCTTTGATGCAGCACGACAGCTTCTAACTTGATTGCGTCTATGTATCATCATGTTGGTTTAGCCAGAATAACAAGATTGTGACGGCAGAGCCTGTGCAAAACGCTGTGCATAATGATTGAGGCAAGTCAAGTTTCTGTTGTGTGTGCACGTCTGTTTGTTGTCTTTGCGGGTTTGTTCGTCGTATGTGTGCTGGCCTGGAGGTCTAGAGCCGTGTTTACGAGTAAGGTATGCCTATGAAGAATGTCTGGAAAATCATATCGGTGATGATCTCCGTCCCGGTATGCAAATAACTCCAAGACAGGCGTGATGGAAAGGCAGAAGGCCTTGCATGGCAATGCTGGGCAATACTGCCATGGTAACAGACGGGAGCGCAGTTGTGGTGGAAAAGATGCAGTTTTCATTCAAGATCGTCATTTAAACTTTTTGGTTCCCGATGGTTCGTTCTCCACTTGGCGGGTAGGGTCTCGCTTATTATCCACACCATCGCTTTATGTGGGTCCGAGTTAGTAACACGTCCATTCCGTCTGCAGTGTCTTAACACCTGGAGGGGCATTATGTTAGCAGCTTTATGTGCTGTTGTCGGCATCCATCATGGTCATTTCCCTCCCAAACCTCCATCCGAGCCTCCGCCATGATCGCCATGCACACCACTTTTTGAACCCTCGATAACCAAGGACACAGTCAACCAGCCACCCGACCCAATTTCAAAATTTAGTGTCGCGACCAAAACTTCCCTTACCTTTCCAAGTCTTATATACTCTTTACGTTGTTCAAAGTAGTCACGGGTTTCAGGAGAGCGGTTCTCAAATCCATTGAGGTTGGGTCCTGTCAATCTGTCTCGGGCAGCATGCACTAATCCATTTCCGCAATTAGACGTCCAGACACTTGCAGCCTGCCAGCCAGACACTGCAGCAAGACACCACACGGCAGCGACGCATCCCCCAACCCCACATCATCAGAACCCGCCAATCTCAGCTCTCAGAACGGTCTGGCCGTTTGAATCCCGGTCAACAAATCCCAACTCCCAAAAGTCCCTTGTTGGCCTTCTTTCTGTTGTCGCGGTGCCGGCGTCAACCTGTGACTTTTCTCCCCGTCGTCCTGCTGCAGTGTCGAAAAGAGTGTCCTGCCTGTCATTCAGTCCGCTTTGCTTTCTTGACACGCGACTCCTCCATATCCAAGTCTGGACGACAGGACCTAGGTCTACACCTCCGCAGCGCATTGCACCGTTCGATCGACCCATAGCGCACGCAGACTACAAAGTACACGCACGCATAAGCAGGCTCAAAGCGCACAATCAGTGCGGACGTACGACGGCGACAACAATTGCGAATTATCCCACCTCCGACGGCGCACGCGACCCAAGCAGCCCTCTCGTTGCTCGATAGGTTCTACCAGAGTCCAGGCCAGCCCTCTAGGCTTTGCGATTTACAGTCCCGTCTTTTCATCAGGCTGCTCCCTCGTCCTTTTTCTTTCTTCGTTACTTGTCGTCGTGTTCGTCCTTCACCTCGTTCTTCCCTCCCGTCCCCGCTCGTATCCCGCAGCGACCTATCATACGTACAATCCCAGAAACCATTCTAGATATCCTCCTAGATACCTTGCTGGGTCTTTCTTCTGATAGCCTCTCCTACATTGTGAAGAGCACAGCTATCACTACACGCCCCGTCTCCGGCCATAGCGAGACAGAGGACCTATCTTGCGTTTACTCGCATGTCATGATCTTGAAGCCACCAGATCATTAGTACGGCATCCACCATCTACGCCGGAGATTTCAAAATGACACCACCCTGCGACCCAATGCTTCTCGATCAAGTACATTCCGAGCCCTTGTCTCTGGACACCCGCCTACCGAGAACCGAGAGGGACCAATCGTTACAGGAAGAAGAAGAGGGCAAGGCAACGGTCGAGCTGGCCAATATTATGACCACAGCCTCAAACCCGGTATCGCCGGGTTCGTCAAGCCCACCACTCGATCAAGTCGGCCTGCAAGACTTTGTCCCACCCACCCGTCCAAGCAGCACCCGTTTCCGCGCACCCGGATCCTCGAAATGCCACGATGCGGAGGGCCACTTGTCCAGCCGAGGACTTGATGGATCTAGACGAGCCCGGCCATTGTCAACCGCCTGCAGACGCCCTGCCTGGACCGAGCCAGAGAGTTGGTGTAAACCTCAACCATCTCCCCGCCGAGATCCACGAATGCATCCTCGACCACTTGTTCGGCTTTCGCGTATCACCAGCCTCAAAGAGCTCCATCGTACGATGGGGCACCGCACTGAGGCACTCGAGGCGAAGAGAACTGTCAGAGTTATCGTTGGTCAGCAGTGTATGGAGGGTCTTGATTCAGGAGCGATTATATCGGCACATCAAGCTCAAAGCCACGATAGAGTCGTTGCGCAGCTCGTTTTCGTGGTTCTGCCAAAACCCGCATCTGCGCTGCTACGTCAAGCACATCGAGGTCTGGTTTCCTGTCTTCCAGCCAAAGTATGGACCCTTGGCAGTCTCCAACACCAATGTTTTGCCTACCGTCACTGCCGATGGCTTGACCAATGCCACCTACATACTACCGGGCAACAACTGTTCCCTAGAAGAGGCCTTTTACTTTGTCGCCGAGACTTTCCCCGAGGTTTCCGTCCTGACCCTGGAAGGTGGTGAAAGAAAGAAAGCGCCGAAAGTGCGTCATTGGATTCGGGAAGAACGCGGGCAGCTTAGGGCAATGCCCAAGGTCAAAACCGTTCGGACGCTTATCTGCAAGGGACAGTGGAACCTGATCAGGAGTCTGGAAGACTGGGAAGCCATCATGTCGGCTCTCCCCAACTTGCAGGAATGGCACGGTTCCTATAGTAAGCCCAAGTCCAAGAGTTATCTCACTATGGCCGAAGTTCTTGGGCAGCCCATGAGCTTGTCCACGCTTAATCTCTGCATTGAAGGCGATTATCGGCGAGAACTGTCCTTTCCCCATTATTTCAACAAAGTCAGGACCAAGGTGCATTTCTGCTCGACGCTGGCACAAGCTGCGGCATTACCTTCGATGGAACACATATCTTATACGGGAAGGGTTTGCAAGCAGTTCTTCATCGACCTGGCAAACCGGCTGAAGGACGTCCGAAATCCTCGTCTCAGATCGATCGATATTACGGTCAAGAACTGCTGCCGAAACGTAACACACTGGAATGAATCTGGGTCGGGGATAACAGACATGTTTTTCATCAAGGCATTTGAGGCTCTGGTACTCGCAGGTATTCGCTCCTTGGAGAAGCTGAGCTCGGTCAAGTACCTGCGCATTCGTTATGTTGACCTCGGTATGTCACCCATTAGGTACCCTTCTTTTTCTAGTGATTCGTCGCTAACACTGGATTCCAGATTCCCCTGTTCCTCCGTTAAATCCCTACTTCCAGTTGCGCAACGGCTGGGCTTCCGGTGTCTGGAGCGAGGTTATTGTTAGCGAACTCAACCGCGTCCGGCCCTCGGTTCGCTTCGAGGAATTGGCCGAGTCTTTTGGTGAGGTCGGCTACAGCAAGGATGGCAGGATAGTCATAAATCCTGACTTCCCAAGGGCCAGGGCTCTGTCGCTAAAGCTGTCTAACTATCGCATGCTGAGCGGTGGAATTTCCATTTCGCAATCGGGCTGAGAGTCATTGTTGCGGCTCATCGCACACTCCATCTCGTCAGCATAAAGGACCAAAGTATCTGTTACATGGGAAATTTTGATTTTTTTTATTGGCTTGGTTTTTGTTTCGAAAAGCATGGCGTTTCGGTTCCAAAGTTTGGGGCCTCCTGTTGATATCAAGGCATGCCACATAGGCAGGCGCGAAGGCGAATCTTGGTCGGGTTAGAACATGAGGGATCATTGTCGGACGGCACCGGCGTCAAAATATGGGGATCCGATATCCTTAACATGTGCCTTAGCATAACAACAGATCTATCATTAGATGGCGAACTTGGGGAACAGGCTACCCTGAAGTGGCTATACCCGCGCGGAGATGGCATGTCATTGTTACCGAGCTATCTATTGTCTAAAGAGGTGTTATTTACGTCACTTAAAATGTTCCAAAGAGCCAGGTGTAGTTTCAACACAATATGCTCGCCACGGGCTTCATGAAGAGGAAGAATACCTCATATGGTTGAAATAATAAAGTCGAACAAAGGTGCATTCTAGTGAAACTCTGCCGTCTTCCGTATAAACAGTCTTCTCTACATGACCAATTTTCAACACAGACTCGTATGTACAATGCTCCAACACACAACATCCATCCCATCACCTCCCTCCATCACCAACAATCACCCCCAAAATCCAACAGTTCACCAAAAAAAAACCCAAGCTCGCCGCCCACAGACCCGGCAAGAACGTGCTCCGTCCCAAGAACTCCAGTTCAAACCCCTGCTGCAACCACAGCCCCTGGCCCAGCACCCACAGCCCCAGCGCGCTCAACCCCATCCTCTTACTCCTCAGAAACGAAGACCGCGGCAGGTACAGCGGCAAAAACACCATGTACCAGAGAAAGTACTGGCTCGTGCAGACCTTGTTGAAGGTGACAAAGGCAAAAGTTTGCGCGAGCAATGAGGTGGGGAGGTCCTTTTTGGCCAGGGCGAGGGGGATGAGGATGGTAGACAAGAGGAGTTGGGGGAGGAAGGCTAGGGATTCGATTTTTAGCTGCCCCAATGGTGCTGTTGCTGAAGGAGATGATGTCGGAAGAGGTGTGGAGGCAGAGGAAAGGTATAGTTGAGTGTTGTAAGGACTAAAGTTGTGCCGGTGATCAATCCGCGTGACGTGATGCAGGTAAGTCTCCTGGAGAAAGGGCTGGCCGTAGAGGGCGTACATGAGGAAGTTGAGAGACAAAAAAGTGGCAAGGGAGGTTATGGCCAGGTTGAGGCGGGGGAGGGTGAGGAAGTTTTTCATCTTTCTGAAGAGTGAGGAGGTGGAGGTGGACGACGACGAGGACGACGAGGGCGACCTAATTCTGTCGTCGGCAAGCCGTTCAGCATCCATCCACCACACGATCGCCGGCGCGTAGATAAACGGGTAGATCTTGAAGTGCACGCTGAGCCCCAGAAGCAAGCCGGCGAGGGTGATGCGGCGCGAGAGGACGGCCCAGAGAAGCGCCATGACGAGAACACCCAGAAGACCCTCGGAGGAGCCGCGCGTGCTGATGGTGGCTACCATAGGGTTGAGAAGCCAGATGGCTGCGAAGGCACGGGCGCGGGATGGGGCCATTGCGGTTCCGTCGTTGCTCTTTCCTCCTCCCGTCTTGCCTCCTTTCTCTTCGCCTTCCGTTTCCTTCTTCTTCTCCTCTTGAGCAGGAAAATCAGTCCCCATAACCAACACCCGCTCAATCAACCACCCCGCCACCAAATCCGCCGCCGCAAACAGAACCTTTCCAGAGCTGAACCATGCCGTGTTGATCACCTTGGCCGCCAAGGGACCCCATTGCGCGCCTGCTGTCCATGTGGTGGGAAGCAAAAGCCAGGCCAGGATGGGCGTGTACCGGTACGTCTCGCGGGCGTAGGGAGACTCGCCGCGGGACACGAAGCGGGCCGCGTCGGTGAAGACGAGGTAGTCGATGTCAGTGTATTTGACTGGCGAGTTTGCGTCTTGCCAAAGACTGTAGAGGAGGAGGATGGCACGGAGGAGGAAGGCGGAGAGGTAAAGGGGAAGTGGGCGGGAGAATAAGGCGTTGAAAAGAGAGGATTTGACGGCCGTGGAGTCTGCTGGTGATGCTGCCATTTTGGTGTTTTGGTTGGGTTGCTGTCGTGTTCAGGGGTTCATTTCATGCGTTGTTGAGGGGCCATGAGAGGGTTTTCCTTTTTCGGTGCTCTATTTTCGGTAATGGGCTGACCAACTGGGAGTGGATGTTGCAACGATGAAGATGTGCGTGAGCGGGCGTTGTGGAAGCCGGCTTGGTGTTGATGCCAGATCTCAGGGGTCTCTGTAGCCAGTGAGGTTCTCGTTTTGGGTTTGAGAATATTTCTTGGCAGGCGTTGACTCTAAAACTCAATACGGTAAATTACATCTTCGTTGTGTAAGTTATCACATGAACAGCTAAATGCCCCCACGCCAGCAGGGTAACACTGCCGGCATTGTGTGTTCGTCCGCTGTAACAAGATGCACATATCACACAACGATCCAAGGTATGATAATGGTTCCAAAACATGCACCAAATCCTGATTCTGGAACAGCCCTCAAAGGAGGGTACTTATGTACAGCTTAAAAGAGAATGGCCTTCGCGTTTCGCTCTTTCCCATGCTTCCGAGATCTACACTGCCTGTACCGACGTGGACGCCTCGTGAGCTATGACGACAACCTCCCACACCGACGAGCAGCAGCACCTCACCCGAGCGATACCATTCCAGTCCTCGGCCTACTTAAAGGACAGCGGTCACGATAGTCTTGGCTTTGATGTGAAATAATACCTACATATCAAGCTCTCATCCGCGCACAACCAAATACTATTCTACATTAGCAAATATACAAAACACAACAGCATCAACTAACAATGACGCCTCCTCTTATCACCCTCGAAGAGCACTTCTTCTCCTCGGCAGTCCCCGAAAACCTGAAGTCCAAGTACTCTGAACAGCTCAAGCATGTGGATGGCGTTTATGATAAGGCCGTCGATCTAGGAGCTCTACGCCTCCGTGACATGGATGCTGGCGGTGTTGCACTTCAGGTCATCAGCCACGTACCAGGTCTTTCTGACAACCCCGTCGCCTGTCATGCAGCGAACGACCAACTTGCCGGTGTTATCAATGCCAAAGATCAAAGCAAAGGCCGCTTCGCCGGGTTCGCCGTAGCACCCATGGGCCATCCAGATCAGGCAGCCGCTGAGCTTCGTCGTGCCATCAACGAGCTGGGTTTCGTCGGCGCCCTAGTTGACAACCACCATAACGGCAAGTTCTTTGACGGACCTGAATACGAACCATTCTGGTCAGCTGCCGAGGAGCTCGACGTGCCCATATATCTTCATCCAACCTGGGCCAGCGAAGACATGATTCCGCACTATCAAGGCAACTTTACCCAAGGGGCGGCCATGAGTATGGCTTCGAGCGGGCTGGGATGGCACACCATGACGGCTCTGCATGTTCTTCGCCTGTTTGCCTCGGGCTTGTTCGACAGACACCCAAAACTCAAGATTGTCATCGGCCATATGGGAGAGACGATACCTTTCATGTTGGAGCGAATCCAGGTCTTGAGTCGCAGATGGGGGGACTTCCAACGAGACTTCAAGACGGTCTATGACGAGAACATCTGGATCACCACGAGCGGCGTCTGGAGTCTCAACCCATTAAGATGCATCTTGGCCAACACGAAGATCGATCATATCCTGTATAGTGTCGACTATCCCTTTCAGAAAAACGAGATCGGACTCGCGTGGATTGAGGATTTGGAAAGGAGTGGGTTGGTCAGTGAGGAGGAACTTAATGCCATTGCGTACGGGAACGCAGAGAAGCTCTTGGAAGTGAAGGTACCCAAGTTTTGAGACCAATAGGAGGACCTGCAAGTTTGCAAAGATGTTTCTGTGTTGAAATAGCGTTGAGATGTCGAGATGTGGAAAGTGTTCATCCAGATGAAGACATGCATTCTACAAATAATGCTTGACGTGGGGGGATTTATCGGGGACCCCTACAGCGTCAAAATTCTGGGGCTGATTGACCATTGCGGGGCATGCACCTAAAACCAATCCAGTCCAATTCTGCTGCACACAAACACTCGTCCTCACACCCTGGGGTTGCTTTATCTCTGGGCGTCATCATCGTGACATCGATTCAGTTTGTTCCCAACACGGAAGGCAAGATGGACGAAGCACCAGCACCCAAGCGCACCAAGATCGTCTGCGAAGACACTCCTAAAAAGTCCATTGACAACTCAACCGGAAAAACAATGTCTGGGTTTAAGCGCGACAGACACGGGAACGAGAAGAGGTTCGACAATGGTCCCCGACCGGCTCCCAAGCCCAAGGTGGCCGTCGTAAGAAACGCCTACACGCCCATGTTCGAGCAATTACGCGACGAGCTCGACGCCCACCATGATCGTCGCGACCGCCTCGGGAAGGTTTCGAGGGACGTTACCGGACTCAGCAAGAAAATGTGAGATACCACCACCACGAGATTTCATCAGATTGGAGGACCTGGGCTGACCATTTTCTCAGAATATTTGCTCTTCAACGGTAATTTACCAACAGTTCATTAACATTGGCCCCAAGGTCTTAGAGTACTGACGGCATGTGCCCCTCAGAGTCCGTACCATCAACCCCGATCTTCCTCCCCAAATTCAAGCCGAGGTCGACTCTCGCCTCGCCGAAATCTCCAAGCTCCTGGCCGTCATGGTTCCAGACGTCCAAGGCATCAACCGTCACCGCTACTCTCGCTCTCTCATGTGTCTGGAGGAGCTTGCCGAGGCACTCACCTTTGCTCACTATCTCAAGACCCAAACTCTCCTCAAGCCGGAGGAGCTCTCGGCGTTTGTGGAGGAGCTTACCCGGAAGGGCGGCGCTGCTGTATCAGAGGGGAAGGAGAAGGACAAGGATGAACCGATGCCAGACGCTGGAAACACGCCGGCGCCTGCGGCCTCCGGCGATCAGGAGACGACCACCGAAAGCGACCCCAAGCCAGCAGAGAACGAGCAACAGCAGCAGCAGCAGTCAAAGCCAGAACCACCGATCATGTCAACAACAGAAGACGACTATTTCTACGGCGTCTTTGACCTGTCTGGCGAGATGATGCGCTTCGCGACCACCAGCACAGCCTTGACGGGCAAGATGGCCGGTGCCGAAGACGAGCGGACCATTGTGGAAGACATGCACGAGCTCGGTAGCTTCTTTGAGATGCTGCCGATGAAGGCAGGTGACAAGAAACAGTGGGAGAAGAAGCTGGATGTTATGCGGCAGTCGGTGCGCAAGGTCGAGAGGCTGGGATATGATAGGAAGATTCGCGGTAGTGAGCGACCGCAGGGCTGGGTTCCTGATTTAACGGTGGATCAGCCGGGTGAGGAGGAGGAGTGATGGAAAGAGAGTAATGTCGGGCGGCAATATGTGTGCATCACTACTGGCTGTTACATTGTTTGACCGAGTGGTGTTAGTTTTGAGTGGGTGAGATGTTGGCATGAATATGGCGCGTTCCATCAAGGAACTAGTTGTTGACAAGGGCTTATGGTTTACCCCAACTCGTACTTATACCACATGTTGGTAAAGACCTGCAAGGTTTTGACATGGGCAGGGATTAGAAAGTAGAAGAAGCATGAACTACAACAGCAGTGTACGAAGTTGAAACGTCTTTTCCCATAGTTCATCATAAATGCAGACGGGAAACCAGGCAAAGCAATTTCTATCATAAAATCCTGAAGAGAAAACTAAAACGAAAATGGCACATCATATTGATACTGTCCATGAACTAGAGCAGCCTTATTCAATACAACGACGAAGCAATTTATGAAAGGTGAGAGGAGAGGAAATGAAAAAGGAAACAAGCAAACAATACGCATGCAAATTCTGGTACAGGATTGGGAAAAAAAGAGCAAAGACTATGACAAGAGTGGGATTCGAACCCACGCCCTTTCGGACCACGGAACTCGTAGAGGAGATTAAGGGTTAACCTTAACGTGGCGCCTTAGACCGCTCGGCCATCTTGCCTGACGTTGTAAGATTAATGGCAGTGCCGCACCTACATAGCTGAAGCGCAAATCACCCTACTTTCACCAACATTTCCAAAATCATTCTCCTACGTACAGTCACCCAGACTTAGTGAAGGACCTGAATGGTGTTTTCCATACACTTTCAAAGATCATCCGTCGACATGTTACGAGTTCAAGTTGATTTTACTTTTCTTCCATTAACTTTGATTAACTCAACTATTGCCCATAGGCATTGATATCGCTAAAATTACAGCCTGGGACAAACCCGAGGTTCGTCATGAACTGTGGATCGACATCCACCGCATCCGTGTACTCGATCGACGCCAAATCGTCCACCATTGCATCGTAGTCTACCGTCGAATATCCAAAATTGGCCATGGGCACAAGATGGTGATGGTGATGCGGACCATTCGTTGTATTATCAACGTATGCTGGTGCTGGTGGTCTAGGAGGAGCGCCTCCGGGTGCTAGAGCCATTGAGGTCTCGCTCAAATGGGTGGAAGGAGGTGGGTATGTACCGAGCATGCTATGTGTATTGAATGACCCGTAGTTTCGAGGGCCAGCAGTTTGAGAAACAGTGTCTAGGACTGTCATGGTGTTGTAGGGGATGGGGTTCGGTAACCCAATGAACCGATCGTTGGCCGGAGTCATCGAGCTTGGGGAAGGGTGTTCCATGACAGGGGACGTGACATTCGCATTCGTAGTTGCAGTTGGCGGCGGCTCAAGATGTCGGATGGGCTGGAGATTGGTATTGTTGTGTCGGCCTACCTGAGACCATATTGAGGAGTAGGCGGATAGAACTTGTTCCAATTGCCTTCGGTGCTGCTGTGAGCAAAGCGACTGTTCCTTTAAAGCGAGGAGGGAAGCTAGAAGTGAAGGGACCAAGGGCGGGATTGCATATGTGCCAAACCGCTTCTGATACTGATCAAGGGTCTCGATCAGAAGATGTGAGTAGTGTTCGTTGGCAGGCTCAGCAAAAGCGGCCGCCCATAGGTAGAAGGTACGAGTAAGGTATGCTGTTGGCACAAAAGCCGATGCTGTGTCTTGGGAAAGGATGAAGCCACTGAAGGGAGAATCATGGCCGATTACTTGCTGCAACCGCGACCTGAACTCCAAGGAAGCGTTCTGTGAAGACATTCGGAGTCTTGGCAAGAGTTCCAGAGCAACCTGTTTGGTCACGCCATATATGTGGTTGAATGTGCTTAGAGGATATGCCGGATTCCTCAACATTTGTAGCATCGTGTGTTCTCCTCCTAAGCCCTCACATGGTGTCCACGGCTCCCATTGATCTTGCCCGTCTTCAGGCAACGGCAGATCGGCAATGTCGCCTGGCTTGAGATGGGCCGGTACATTGTGCCTCATAGAGACAATGGTGTCGATGATGAAGCACGCAACGAGCAGCGTGCGAATTCTTGGTTGTGACCGGTCATCACCAGGAGGCAACCGAGTGCGAACAACAAGTAGGACACGAACTGCAAAGCCAACCAACAACCAAGCAGACTCCCAGTCACCCCGTCCAATGCTTACTAGACAAAGAAGCAATAGGGCTCTGCAGTGCTGCACCTGGGACGGCCCACTTTCCGATGGTATGAGGTTTCGAGCTGTGTCAAATATGTCTGCGGGGGAGAGAGTGGTGGCATTGTTGTCGCCATGAGTCGCCGAAGTTGGACCCGCAGAATTCGACGCAGCAGCGGCAGCAGTCTGGAACGACGCCAGGGCAAGGGCGCTCCAGAGCTCGGCATGAACGCCAGACTCGACGTTAGCAGAGGGAAGCAACGAGCCTTGCTCAGAGTATTGGTACAATGCTTGGTACATGTCTTTCTTCTCGAGGATAGGGAGCCATGAATGCGTGTACGAGAAGTAGATATCCAGTAGGCGCCAGTGATGACGCGGTAGCTTTTTTATCCCAGCACTGGGTAGAGCGGTTCTGTCATCTGGCTGAAGGTTGTTTTCCAGGGTGTTCACCGAGATATGTTGTTGGACCGGGCCTGGTAGAGTGCGCGTCCCGACTGTATTCGGCGCCGGGAAAGACAACTGAGACGCATGAGGGAGTTCGGCTGTGTTTGGCCCGGCATCTTCAACAATCAGGCCTTCAGTCGGGGACTGGCCGTCGTCAGATGGATCGTGTGCGGCCTGGCCCGAGAGAAGACGGATAATGCTTTTGTTGACACGACTTCTCTCCCATCTTGCATGCAGCCGTTCTGCAGCAGGCGAGTCTTTGCCCACTAGGAGAGCACTGCCTCGGCCACTTTCGTGGACCAACAGATTATGGAGAGCGTCCTCGCTGCGGGCAACGTTCTCGAACATCCAAGCGAGAGCCAGTTCGAGAGTGCGGATATAGCCCGTCTGGACTCCTCGCTTCTTGGGACTGGCCTGGTAGGTACACGACCGGCCCTGCGACACACAAGGGAAACAAGCCGGCTGTATTCCATCGCATTTTTCGCGCGCAGCTCGACATTGATCGCAGGCTCTCGAGACTCTCTGGCGTTTCGAGCGAGCGGGCTCGACAAGTGACGTCGTGCCAGGGCCGAGATCGGGTATGTTGCTGTTGTTTAAGTTGGGCGCAGAGGCAACACGGGCATCGTTGTTTCCTGATGTGTGACCGGCGTGAGCTTCGGCGTGGGCATTGGCTTCGGCAGCGGCATCAAGCGGCTTGCGTTTAGGCGGCATGTTTGGAGTTGTGTAGCCGTAGAGGTGTCGAAGGAGTTGCTAATCAGGCACATGGGATGCCCTTGCTGCTATTTTTTTCATGGCCCTCTCCAGACCATGACGACGTTGTAGCTAGTGCATGGGAGTCCGATCATGGCTTTGGGACAGCGGCCTTGAATGTAATTGCGTAGAGGCCGAGGAGTATAGAGATAATCAACATGATGTCTAGGTTAAGGGTGAGCGAGGACGGTTGATGGCAGTGATTGTTTTCGGTCCGTCACGGCAGTGGAACCGGGATTAGATTCGGTGCGGGGGAACTTCGGCTTTTGCTGTGGTAAGGATGTTGGGGTAAGAAGTTAAACTGTTCTTCAACTAAACAAAGTATGTCCTTCAGAAGTCCAAATAGTCAATTTCACATTTGTTGACTTTGGAGCAATATCGGATTCGAGAGGCATCGCATCTCTGGAGCTGCCCTTCAAAAGGACAAACAGATTGATGCAGGTGTTGGACTTGTAACAGCGTGGAAGAGGATGAAAGAATGGAGGCCAAAGGGAGTTAGGAGGATAATCATTTATCCTCTTTACATAGCTATGTTGCACCTATTTGGAGTGTCTCTCTGACCCCCGCTCCCATACAATAAAAACCTCGCTGGAAACACCAGCCATAATTACAGATGGCTGTAAATACCAATTCAATGTGCTTACGGATATCCCAACGGGATTGTAAGGTAACTTCCTCTTAGGCCGCCGTTCTTGCCTAACGTACTTGTAAAAGACCTGTATGTTAGTAGTGGAAGGTAGTGGTATGTACTCGCCCTTTTGTTTACCGCTAGGCCCGGGCTTTACTTGCAGTAGGTATACCGGGCCGGGATCCCATGCAATGCTCTTTGACACCTCCATTTCCGTCCGCTAGCTTCAACCACCTCAAACAAACCTCTCCTCTCACACTACCAACAACACAATTTAGTCCACGTCGGATCTTCAGCTCGATGACCCTATTTCCTTGACTATCAGGCCCCCAAGCGATGAGGAAGGAATGGACCATAAGCCGACCCAACGAGTGATGTTCTAACGGAGACTTGACATTGCCATGGTGCATGCGAGAATGCGGCAACCTCTACCGTCGATGCACAATCACCTATGCCTAGAGACACCAAGACCGCCATCATGAACACCATCCCGACACGCCATGTCGGGGATGTCGCACCCCGCGATCATCTACATCTACCGCCCATATCGTCCTCCGCAGTCGCCAGCGGCATGAAGCGTTCTTTTGCGACCATGGCCATGCTTTACGCCAACGACAGCGACGCGGACAACACCGACGATGCCAATGCCAATGCCAATGCCAACGCCAGGCGGCCACCACGACCCCTCTCCAACAGTCCGAGTACTTCCAGCTACAGAGTAGGCACGTCTATTTTTCTCCTTGCCTTTCATCTCAAGTCTTGTATTGTGCTCAATACTAACAGATCGGTCCAACTAGGCTCTTGGTCGGCACCCAACTCCCCGCCCCGTCGTGCGCTGCCGCATCATCCCATCACCGCCAATTTCGATCCCGATGCTTCCATTGTTATCGCCGGTATCCGTGGCGCTGGCAAGTCTACGCTGGCCATCATGGCATCTACCGCCATGAAGCGCAAATTAGTCGATCTGGAATCCGAGTTCCATCATCTCACCGGCTTGTCTAGTTCGAACTACAAGAAGAGACATGGCCCGGGCGACTACGGAAGGCGTCAGATCACCATCTTGCAGAACATCTTGAGTCTGCACAGAACCCGCGCCATTCTCGTTTGTTCTTGGCTGGAGCGCGATGTGCAAGCCATGTTGCAGAATTTCAGCACGTCTAATCCCGTCATTTACGTTCTGCGTGATGCGAAAGCCATCGAGGCCCATCTGAAGGGATATGACAAGTCCAAAGTTAGCGCCCTTCTTGACGCCACAAGTGCTGTCCTTCGCCGCTGCACCCATTTCGAGTTCTTCAACGTCTCCGAGGAGAACTTGGACACCCACTCCGGTCCAGCATCACCGCCCGCCGTCCCGGACCAGCGGCATACCGCGCCATATTTAACGCTCAAACGAGCTGAGCGCCATTTCCTCAAGTTCCTCTCCTTAATTTTACCCAAGGGAACCATACCCTTCGTCGAGTCCGCGTTTCCCTTGGCTTCCGTCCCCGTTGAGCAGCGCCGCTTCACCTACGCCCTCGCCTTGCCTATATCTGCCTTCCTCGACAGAGGCGTTGATATACAAGAGCTCGATGCCGGCGTGGATGCAATCGAGATCATTATTGATGACCTTGCAACAGGCGAATCCCGCGCAACGAGTTCCCTGGGCCTTGCGCCACACCGGGCGAGCGAGATCAGCCGTGTTGTAGGCGAGATCAGAAGGGACACAGTGATTCCCATTATCGTTCACGTGGTCTTTCCAGAGAGAGCGTTGTCTGAAGAAGCTCTGCTGGCTCTTTACATGACTTACCTCAGCCACGCCTTAAGGCTTGCGCCAGATTATCTTACGGTCGATCTGAGACTCGATTCAGGCTTACTGAGCCAACTAACTGCCGTTAAAGGAATAGCAAAGGTTATCGGCAACAGACAGATTTTGCACGTCAATTCGCCGCTTTGGGGGGATTCGTCTTGGGTCCAGGCCTACCGAAAGGCCCAGAATACAGAATGCGACTTGGTGCGGATGACTAGACGGGCTTCAAGTTCCAGGGACAACACGGATATCCGGCAGCTTCAAGTTGCGGTAGACGCCGCGGGGGGTCCAAGACTTCCTTTGATTGCTTACAACACAGGCCGGCTAGGTCGATCATCGATGTGTTTTAACGAGATCCTGACCCCGGTTGCACCAGAGCCTTTCAAGCAGGATACACCTGAGCTCCAAGATCATGCTCACCACCATCTCCAACCTCCGCTTACGGCTCTAGAAGCGACGCATGCTCTCTATTCTGCATTTGTCCACGACCCCATGAAGCTGTATGTCTTCGGCGCAAATGTGGGATATAGCTTATCCCCAGCCATGCACAATGCCGCTCTCAATGCCTGTGGAATTCCGCACCACTACCGGCCCCTTTCTACGACCAATATCGGGACCTTGCGCGAGGTCATCAGTGATCCGCAGTTTGCTGGAGCCTCGGTCGGTCTCCCGTTCAAGGTGGAAATTATCAGCCTTACGCATTCGTTGAGCAGGCATGCGAAAGCCATCGGGGCCGTCAACACCTTGATTCCGGTCCGACACCTTACGGCAGACGGTGGAATACCGGACGAGGTATCCATGTTCAACAATATCAGCCAAGCTGGCCCTGTCAAAGCTCTTTACGGCGAGAACACGGATTGGATTGGTATCCGGGCCTGCCTTCGCCGCGGTTTATCGCCCGCAAATGCCGTGAGGTCAACTAGCACTGGTCTTGTGATTGGCGCTGGTGGAATGGCTAGGGCGGCTGTATATGCCATGCTTCAACTGGGAGTCAAGAAGATTTTGATCTTTAACCGAACATTTGCCAATGCCGAGAAGCTGGTTTCGCACTTCGAGAACCTGTTGGTCAGAGACGCATTGCCTTTGTTGAGCACAGGGCCAAGATCCCATGACAACACCTCTTTTCACATTATTCGATCCCGAGACGAACCGCTCCCAGAAAACTTCAAAAACCCAACCATGATTGTTTCCTGCATACCGACACACACAGTGGACAATACCCCGGACCCCGAGTTTACTGTACCTCTACATTGGCTCGACAACCCCACTGGCGGCATTGTGCTAGAACTAGACTACAAATGTCTCACATCACCTCTGCTCGAACAAACACGACGCGAAGCTCACAGAGGCTGGGTCGCAATGGATGGACTCGATCTTCTGCCAGAACAAGGGTTTGCCCAATTCGAACTGTTCACCGGGCGGCGAGCACCCCGTCGTTTGATGAGGCGCGAGGTTTTGCGAGCATACCCGGATGGTCAAGAGCAATCTCATACCGCACAGTTACAGCCTCGACTCAACAGAATTGCAACGCAGATATCCTGAAAGAGACATGCGGATCTGATGGTCTTGAGATGGTCTTGATTTCGGGGCGGGCTGTTGGCATCAGGGTAAAACTCGGGCCGGTTTCGGTGGATAGCAACAAGGTCTGCTCGGAGCACTAAACCCAGATCCGTGTTTGCTCCTGAAGCCGGCGCTTCTATTGTGGGTACGGGCTACCGTCAGAGGCGATCGGCTCAGGGGAACACTTGGCGCTCACGACTAGAGTGAGGAAAAGGAGGTGTGCGATTTTCCTCATATGTGTATCCTCAACAACACCTCTCAGTTTCAAGAAATGCCGAGTATCAAGTTACCAGGCGTTCGCTGGCTGGATAATGGCTTTGCCGTTTATGCATAGAGCTGCAGCTTCTCAGATGTGATGGCTCATCGGTGTCAACGTTTACGAGTACGGTGGCTGGTCATGCTGCCTTACGCAGAGGGGCTCGAGATGTTGAAGAAGAAGGGGGCTGAACAAACACCGTCGTTGTCTGCCGTCCTCCGGCTATACATTCATCCACACCCTCCCAAAACTCTGCGCTAGCACGTCAGCGGTTTGTGGGGCGGTTGCTTAGCAGGGGTCGTACTGGACAGCCACCTCTTCGGGGTGTGCGTACCAGCTCAACGCTCATCAGCTTCACTTCTTCAGTGCGGGGAAGTTCAGGGGCTGGACACTGAGACGCTGGCGATGAGCTGGAAAAGGTCACTTTGCCACGAGGAGGCCCGGCATCTGGGGCTCGACTGTTGCCATGCACTCTGATTTTCTGGGGTTGCGATCCAGTGGTCGTGCCGGTCGCTTGCATTTTGGTTGTACCGAATAGCAGGTTTCGTGTGGCTCTTGCGGGGGAGACCAACCAGCCAGATCTTAGCTCACTAGGCGGCTGGGGTATGGTTGCTAACGACAAGATTCCCCATGGAGAAGGAAATGCTAGTGCGTGGGCTCCCATGCAAATCGATGAGTCGAACATTCATACGTACCCCTTGAGATCTCCTTTTCTATAAAGACATCCCGACTTGAGAACGGAATCCTAGGATACAATCAGCCCTTTCTCCTCGTTCAAATCATCCACCTCCTTTGGCGACCTTGTAGGAGAGGTCGCGTCACCGGCCCCCCTTCTGTTATTCTACATCGTCGATCGGCATCGGACTCGTCAAGATGACTCTCCTTGCGCTCAAGGAAGACAGGCCAACGCCAAAGGCCGTTTATAACTGGCGTGTCTACACATGCGCGGCGATCGCCAGTTTTGCCTCTTGCACGATCGGCTATGATTCTGCCTTCATTGGCACCACGCTTGCGTTGCCATCCTTCACCAAGGAATTCGATTTTGCCTCTTACACGCCTGGTGCTCTCGCCTTGCTTCAGTCCAACATCGTATCGGTCTACCAAGCCGGCGCCTTCTTTGGCAGTCTTTTCGCCTTTGCGACTAGTTACTTCATGGGCCGTCGCAAATCTCTCATCGCCTTCTCCATCGTCTTCATCATTGGCGCCGCCATTATGCTTGCTGCTGATGGCCAAAGCCGAGGCATTGCTCCGATTATCGCAGGCAGAGTGCTGGCTGGTATTGGCGTTGGAGGTGCCTCCAACATGGTACCCATTTACATCTCGGAGCTCGCGCCGCCCGCTGTTCGTGGCCGTCTTGTTGGCATTTATGAGCTCGGCTGGCAGATTGGTGGTCTAGTCGGATTTTGGATCAACTACGGCGTCAACAACACCATGGCCCCGACGAGGTCGCAGTGGCTAATCCCCTTCGCCGTTCAGCTCATCCCTGCCGGCCTCTTGTTCTTGGGCAGCTTCTGGATCCCCGAGTCTCCGCGGTGGCTTTTTGCCAACGGCAAGAGAGAAGAGGCAATGAAGGTATTGTGCTGGATGCGCAACCTCGAGCCCACCGATCAATACATTGTTGAGGAAGTTTCGTACATTGACGCCGACCTGGAACGGTATGCCCGAGAGGTCGGCAAGGGTTTCTGGAAGCCGTTCCTGTCTCTTAAGCAACGCAAGGTTCAGTGGCGCTTTTTCCTTGGTAGCATGCTCTTCCTCTGGCAGAACGGAAGCGGTATCAATGCCATCAACTACTACTCCCCCACGGTCTTCAAGAGCATCGGCATTACCGGTACCAACACCGGCTTCTTGACCACGGGCATCTTCGGCGTCGTTAAGACAGTGCTCACCATCATCTGGCTTCTGTGGCTTGTCGATCTGGCCGGTCGCCGCCGCATGCTCTTCATCGGTGCGGCTGGCGGGTCGCTCTGCATGTGGTTCATTGGAGCCTACATCAAGATTGCCGGTCCTGGATCGACCAAGGCGGAAGACGCCAAGCTGACCTCTGGCGGTATCGCAGCCATCTTCTTCTTCTACCTCTGGACTGCCTTCTACACCCCTTCGTGGAACGGCACACCTTGGGTCATCAACTCGGAGATGTTTGACCAAAACACGCGGTCCCTGGGTCAGGCATCAGCCGCGGCCAGCAACTGGTTCTGGAACTTTATCATTTCGCGTTTCACGCCGCAAATGTTCTTGAAGATGAAGTACGGCGTGTACTTCTTCTTTGCCTCGCTCATGCTGCTGTCGATTGTGTTCATTTACTTCTTCATCCCCGAGACCAAGTCGATCCCGCTCGAGGCCATGGATCGCTTATTCGAAATCAAGCCTGTTGCCAACGCCAACAAGATTCTCATGGCCGAGCTCAACTTCGACAGGGGAGGTCCAGAGCGAGAGGAGTCTTCGCTGGACGAGAAGGACAGGGTGACACAGAGCGAGACCGCAGTCTAAGGTCTACAGCTTGTCTTCGCCTTCAGGGTAGTTGAATATGGGAATGCGTGTTGTGAGGTGCGGCAGCCAACCACTGTGGATATGATGTGATGTTTATGATGCTGGGCGATACCTTTGTTGTAATTATCTTACTTGATTTTCTTGCCCGAGGTCGAAGCGAACGATGTGATGATAGCTATGAAGCCAAAGTACAAAGTTACGTTGTCTGAAGTACACCATGGAGTTTTCACTCTTTCCTCTTTACTGCATTGCTTTGTGTCTTGATTTTCCCTCCACAGCTTGTCTGTCCAGTGACGATAGGGAATCCTACGTCTGTGTTGACGTCGCCGAGCCTTTCTTTACTGTTGGCCCACGGGTGTCTTGCTTTCACCGAGAAACCTTCCCACAGTCACATTATTCTGACAGCGTGATATCTGAACACAAAGAAAGCATCACTCCTAGAGCTGGCAGAATTCAACTGATACTTCATTTCTATCACAACGGGTATCACACCACCATTCGTACAACCACTCTGTTTTTCTTTCATTGTTGTTTTACATGATTCGAACGACCTTGCCATCTCAACTGGCTTGCGATTTGGAAGCTTCGGCCAACTTTGCAGCAATGACTTCCTTGATCTGTTGAATGGGAAGCTCCTCGTTTGTGCGACCGGTCCAATACTTGTCCTGCAGAACCAAAGAGATGAAATGTCAGTAAGCTGTCCTCCAGAGAGGCATATTCACGATCAGGACGGAGTAATACATACCTGTTCAATCCCCTGCCAAATCAACGCCTCGGTGCCCAGAATAACCTGCCACCCCTCCTTCTCCGCCAACGCCCCCAGCTCGGTGAATGGGCTCGGGTTATAGCACATCTCCAACATGGCGCCCTTCTCTTCCTTCCCCAGGAACGTCTCGATGATGCGTCTCGCCAACACCTCCTTTTCCGTCTTGGGCGGGAAATCCGGAATGCAAGCGACTATCGCCCCCGGGCCCTCGAGCGCTTCAGCCTGCTCCACGCTCGCCACATGCACCAGCCGATCGCCGTACCCCCGCTCCGTGCACTCGGCAATCACTGCGTCTACCTCGCTCTGGTCCCGGTTCACCAGGTAGATGTCCGTCGCGCCCAGCCACTTGTGCAGCGCGTACACGGCCGAGCGCGCGGCACCGCCGCCGCCAATCACCAGCGCCGGCCGGCCCTCATATACCCTGGCGGGGTCGGTCACGTTCTGCACGAAGCTCTCGCGCACACCGATGACATCGGTGTTGGTGCCGCAGAAGAGGCGGCGGCCCGTGGCCTCGTCGGTCTTGAGGAACAGGGTGTTGCAGGCGCCGACGTCGCGGCATTCGGGCATGAGGTGGTCGAGGTGGGGGATGATGGCGACCTTGTGAGGCATGGTCACCGAGGCACCGTAGAAGTCGGGGTGCTGGGCGAGCTGGAGGAAGAGCGGTATGGAGGGGGAGTCGAGACGGAGTTGGGCCCAGTTGAGAGAGAGGTGGGAGTAGACGATGGAGTGCAGGAGAGGGGACATGGAGGCCGTGAGCTTTTGGCCGAAGAGGTAGCCATGTTTGGTGTAAGGGCTGATGTCGGGTGTGCTGGTGAGAGTGAGAGTCTCTTGCTGCTGGGCCGACGTTGTTGTCGTTGTTGTCGTTGTTGCTGTCGACATCTTGACGATGATGATGATGATGATGTGTAACGGTTGATGGTGTGATGTGTCTGGCGATGAGAGTTACGGGGTCACTCGGAGATCAAGACTTGACGGAGAACAAGCAGAACAAAATAAAAATCAAAGACAGGTCAACGAGTTCACGAGATGGTCTCGGGAGATGAAAGATGCCAAGGGGCGTGGCTATAAGTTATTCCCCCCATCTTGAATACTACTCGGGCGCGTGGAGTTGACAGGGTTCAATTGGAGTCAGCATCTCCATCGTGAACGGGGCAATTCGTGGTGGATGAATGAAAACGCTAGAGTGTCCCTGGGAGGAAGTCTGGGGAAGTTGAAATCATCCACTCTTCTCTTTCCCTGCCTGTCTGCCAGACTGGGATTGAACGGCGGCGGAGTGGTGATTTGGAATTGTGCCTTGAATGGCATGGGGAAATGGTTGGAAGAGTGTTTTGCCTTTTTCCATGCTCTGGGGAATTTGGCGATCCAGGAGGAAGAGCTCTCTTCAACAGCCTCGGAAGAGCTAAACAACCTCCGTTGCGGGGATGGATTGCTTCCTGCATGGTCGTCCCCAACCGGGCCGGCCCCACTGCTTAAATATTTATCCAGCGGTCCCCTTTGTCAACTCTTTCCCCGACCAACTGTGGGGGCTTCCATGTTCTTGCTCATCTTCCCCCGTTCCCAGAGGTTATGATGTGTATGGGAATCAACCCCGCTCCCAAGGCCCGCCAACTATCGCCATCTTCGTCATCTTTATTTTTGTTTCCTTTGGTGTCTCATGCTTTGCCAACAAGAAGCATTGTATTATTGGTCTTACGCGGCGGCTCCTTATCAGTATTCACCAGTCCGATCGATAACTTGCCGGCATAGACACGGATCGGGAGATGGCATCCTATCTCGGAGCCGAGATCACGGACTGGGTGGATTGTAGAGCATATCGAGTCGTGAACTGTTAAAGTTCTAGACCCGGACCGGCTACTTGGAGTCGTTAGATACAATCATGAATTCACCGCTATTGACTTCGATTTTATCTCCATGAAGCAACCAAGTGCAATTCAGACGGTTGGTTAACACTGGGTGCTACCATTCGATTTCTGTGATAGTTGCCATTCGATTAGACACTCAGCTAACTGGAAGACCGGCACTCACGAGTTGCACAATTACACAGAGGCATTCGGTAACCCGTGTCTCATCTGTCAAAGTCCCTTCCCATATGAACGGGAGGTACTTTGACTGGGTCCCGATTGGCCTCGACGCAAGCTGGCCGGCAAGGTGCCTGTTTCGGGAGGCTATCAACTGCCATACGCCCGGCTAAGTGTTTATCACACCCAGGGGAAGATGTCTCTTCCCTCCTGTCATCCAAGCTCGTCAACACCCAACCGCCATCTGATCTTTGAAGAGGTGCTAAATCTTGTGAGACGCTCATACGGTCGCTTACCTTCGGCCCATCCGTTGATGCTCTATTCCGCTCAGCAAACTTCGGCTTCCATCCCGTGGTTCACCGTTGGCACCCGTTATCGTTCCTGTTATTGGCCAATTCTTCGCAAACCAAAGCGATGACATCCCGAACACCTGCAATGAGCCGTCCATGGCGCCTTCCACACCTTCGATGGGAGGCGGATTTGCCATACCTAATACCCTTATCATGATCATTTGAAGATCAAGACGGAAACCGGTTGGCCGCCTGGGAAGTTACGTTTGAGTCTTGCTCGCGGGAACGCTTGTCGCCGTGCCGTATGGGACCACGCGAAGGCCAAATCAAACCTTGAAACCGCCCAACAGCTTCGTTCCTGCCTTCCCATACCAATGAGGCACATGCTGTGAGAACCCTAGTTCTTCACTTTCTCATCACTTGACTACCTATATTACTCTCAAGCGCACCGAGTGGTGGTCAACATTTCTTCCAGGACAGTATCCTACCTCAGCATCAACTCGTCTCACATATTTTATAACGGCGAAACCTTTACCGACAACACCTGTTATTTTCCTGTCCTCCAGATCATTTACTACACTCACTCGTCCAGCCCTTCGCCATGCCATCAAAATTAGCCATCAGTTCCATGTCCCTAGGACGCTGCTTTGCCGGCCACTCTCTGGACAGCAAGCTTGATGCCGCTCAACGATATGGATATCTCGGTATCGAGCTTTTTCATGAGGATCTGGTCGACGTTGCAGAGCGTTTGTCAAGCGAGTCTCCTTCGCCCGAAGGCCCTTCTGCCCAAGCCCAAATAGTCGCCGCTCGTCACATTCTCCAGATGTGTCAAGACCGAGGGCTTGAGATTGTCTGCCTCCAGCCTTTCATGCACTACGACGGCCTTGTCGACAGGACAGAACATGAGCGCCGCCTGGAGAAGCTAGCACTATGGATTGAGCTCGCTCATGAGCTTCAGACCGACATCATTCAGATCCCAGCCAATTTCCTCCCCGCCGACCAAGTCAGTGACGATATCGACCTGATTGTCTCGGATCTTGTCAAAGTGGCCGACATTGGAGCTCAAGCTTCACCACCTATCCGCTTTGCCTACGAGAGTCTTTGCTGGAGCACCCGTGTCGACCTTTGGGAGCGCTGCTGGGACATCATACAGCGCGTTGATCGCCCCAATTTTGGCATCTGCCTTGACACCTTCAACATCCTCGGCCGCATCTATGCCGACCCGACGTCTCCTACCGGGAGGACACCCAACGCAAAAGAGGCGGTCAGGAAGTCCATCGCCAACTTGGTCTCACGCGTGGATGTCTCCAAAGTCTTTTACGTCCAGGTGGTTGATGCCGAGAGGTTGAGCAAGCCACTGCTACCGGGCCACCCGTACTACAACCCAGAGCAGCCGGCCAGGATGAGCTGGTCGCGCAACTGCAGGCTGTTTTACGGCGAAACAGAATATGGAGCGTACCTGCCTGTGAAGGAGGTTGCTCGAGCCTTCTTCCACGGTATTGGGTTCCAGGGTTGGGTCAGCTTAGAATTGTTCAACCGCAGAATGTCTGAGGAGGGACCCGAAGTGCCGGAGGGACTTGCCATGAGAGGCGCCATCTCGTGGGCCAAGCTGGTGCGGGACCTGAAGATACCTGTAGAGGGACCATTGGTGACAATGCCTCGAGTTGCTGCTTCATTATAGTTCAACGACGGTTGATCTTAGCAATTGGTTCTGTCTTTATACACCAGCATCACTTCTACACAAAAGTCTGGGCGGTCTTCTTTTTTCTTCTTTCCTTTTTTCTCGGTACATTGGGCTTCAAAGTTTGGGAGTGTGATGTATTGAAGGCGTTGTTGACAAAATTTTCGTAAGTCCAGCCTTTGTTCATTTCAATATGATTTCTTCATAACCACTTCATCTCTGACTTGGTATGATTGATTACAGGCAGGTGGAATGGAACACGAATCTAGGACGAATAGCTTCATAATAATTAGACCAAAAAGCATGCTTTCACGATTATGGCATTTGTCTTATTCAGTAGCTACTTCTGTGAATTCAGAACAAAATATTTCACAATTTGTGCCTTCAACCCGAAGAATCACTGATACCAACTTATGAGAATCCGTCACTGCTGCAACGTCATTGACGCCAAACAGTATCACAACCTAAACAAAGAACAGCCTGAATGTACAAACAAAAAGAGGACACTTAAAAATCAACATCTCATTGACTCTCTCTCTCAACACTCATAACTTCATATGCCTCCCCGCAAACTCCAGCGCAGCACTATACCCAAACGGCCCCAGCCCACAAATAACCGCCGCCGCCTTATCGCTCAAGTAACTATGATGTCTGAACGCCTCTCTCGCATGCACATTCGAGACATGCACCTCAACAAACGGGATTCCCGTCCCTAGCAGTGCATCCCTAATACCCACGCTCGTGTGCGTGTAAGCGCCTGGGTTGATGATGATGGCTGACAATTTGTCTACTCCGGTTCCCGGTCCGGCTCCTGCTTCAGTTGTCGTTGCGGCGGCGGCACCTGATGGCGATAGAGACGGGGAAAATCCCGCTGCTTGATGGATACGGTCGATGATGGCGCCTTCGTGGTTAGATTGGAATGTTGAAAGACGGAGACCTAGCGAAGAGGCTTGGGTCTGGGCGGCCTGCTCTATGTCGTGGAGGGTTGTTGAGCCGTAGATCTGGGGCTCTCGAGTACCGAGGAGGTTGAGGTTGGGACCGTTGATGAGGAGGATGTGACGGGGAGATGCCATTGTGCCTTGGTGCATATCTCCGGCTTGGAGGGTGATGTGTTTGTGGGCGATGAGTGTCTAGAGTGACTTATTTTAATCTTTGCAGAGGTAGATACGAGGAAAGGTGTCTGAGAAAGGTATCGCACGGCACTCGACAGTTCGGGAGGTGGAGGTTCAATCGAGATGTGTGTTCGGACTTTGTTATTAACAACAGATTTTCGCTCATCATTCACGTTCCTCATACACGGACAAGTTATCTAAAGGACGGGCGGATGAGTGGTTACCCGTCCCTGGTTCCGGTTCTGTGACTTTGCCCGTCATTGCATTGATAACCAACCACTCGAAGAAAGTCAACAGTTTGCTTCTTACTTATTCCATTGCACCCTGGATCTGTAAGCAAAACCTTCCGTATATCATACTGCATTGTTGGAAGATATGGAGTGAGTAAAGCACTGTCATGATCGAGTGTCATCGCCTGATTATTAACCCCTGAGCCACCAGCAAAGGGTTAGGGTTTATCCAAGCCAAGGACGTGAATGACGGGGCTGGTGATGGTGGGTAAATATTTACCCAAAGGTGGGGAAGCTGTCAGCTCACGACTTACCAAGTTCCTCGATCATCCGCACACCATCTTTTATCCGCTGGTTAAAGACTTATCCGTTGACAGAGACCTTTTCCACAGCGAAAGTCTATCAATGAGAGAACTTATCCGCACATGGAGGAGCACAGGAAGCTATTGGGGTCCGGAGGAAGTAGATAAACATCATGTAGCGGAAAGATACGCATTGCTTATAACAAGCTGAGCTGGTACGCGGTACTGGATTGAACTTGATGAGATGACGGAACTTGTGCTCACTGTTCAATGCTATCATCAACTCACCAACATGAACAATCTGGGGAGTGGGACCTCGCGTTAATGATCGCCGGAGTCTCACTATCTGCGATCAAATGAGCTCATTGGAAGGCCGAGCTAGACATTCTTCGCTTTCCAACGGTTCTAATGTAAGGTACCGTGAGCGGAATGGGGTCCGTCCTTGCCCACAGGCAGCTTGTTAGTCCATGGCACCGCATAGGCCGAGGCGTGCCATAGCTGGTTGGAATGGAAAGGTTCTGACTCAACTTTGCTTTTCACTTTTCCCTTGACACCAACGACTGTTTGTTAGGACTAACCTCTACACATACCAACAACAACCCAAGACTCAGTGTGTGTGCTTGTTACCAACTATCAGCAGCCATGGCGTCAAAAATAATAACCGAAGCTGAACTCGACGAAATCTACGCCTTTGCTGTCCAACTCGGGAAAGATGCAGGCAACCTCCTCATGGAAGCTGCCCGCTCGCGGTTCAGCAGCAACAGTCACAATGCCAGCCACGACGATGAACCCGCGACCCAAGAGTTCACCGAAAAGGATTCCGCCGTCGACATCGTGACGCAAACCGACGAAGACGTCGAAGCCTTTATCAAAACGGCCATCAACACACGCTACCCTTCTCACCACTTCATCGGGGAAGAGACGTACGCGAAATCGTCCCAGCCCACACGCCCATACCTCGTCACCCCTACGACTCCGACCTGGGTCGTCGACCCCCTCGACGGCACGGTCAACTACACGCACCTCTTCCCCATGTTCTGCGTTTCCATCGCCTTTCTCATCGACGGCGCACCGGTTATAGGAGTCATATGTGCGCCGATGCTTGGCCAGCTCTTCACGGCCTGCAAGGGGCGAGGTGCCTGGCTCAATGAGACACAGCGGTTGCCGATGGTGAGGCAGCCGATGCCTAAGAACGCGCCGGGGGGTTGTGTGTTTAGTTGCGAATGGGGCAAAGACCGTAAGGACAAACCGGAGGGGAACTTGTATCGGAAGGTGGAGAGTTTTGTCAATATGGCTGCCGAGGTTGGAGGGCGAGGCGGGAAGGGCGGAATGGTACATGGGGTCAGAAGTTTGGGGAGGTAAGTCTTCGCATATCAGAACCAACAAGGACGGGATAACGGATATAAGAAGTCCTAACACTGCACAGCGCAACGCTGGACCTCGCTTATACGGCAATGGGTTCTTTTGACATTTGGTGGGAAGGAGGGTGCTGGGAGTGGCAAGTACAACATCTTAGCCTGCCCATAGCTACTGACTTGAGAGTGATGACTAACAAGAACGGGATGGAATTAGGGATGTTGCGGCAGGTATAGCCATTCTCCAAGAAGCTGGAGGTCTGATAACTTCGGCAAACCCGCCCGAAGAGTGGGCAACGGCAGAGATACCAGAAGTGAAGCTAGGTAGCCGATTATACCTCGCCATTCGACCGTCAGGGCCATCTGAAGGGGAGACAGCACGTCAAGGACAAGAAAGAACAGCCAGAGAAGTTTGGAGGCGTGTGCTTGCTTTGGACTATACGCGACCAGGTGCTTGAAACGAGGTAGAAGATCAATTCTTAGACCTTGGTACTCCTCGTTTTCCAATTTAATCAATGAGTGCCGGGGGGTTTTGTTCAGGTCCATGATGTGACCTCAAAGCGGCAACAACACGGAAGCCACAAACATGACAGAATCAAGGTGGTTATTGACTCACCCTTGGCGCCAACGTGATTGACCCAGCATCCGGTGGCACGGCACTTGTAAACGTCACCGGCTCATATTTTCATCTATGCAAGAGTTAGGACCGCAAAGACCTCATTAGGCTGTCTGAAGTCCAAAGTTGAAAGGGCACGGCGATGGTTGTTTTGCTGATTAGTTATCATTGCGGTCCTGTGTGTCAGCTGTGGGGGGGGGTCACCTTCATGCGCAGAACTACCGGCAATGGACGGTGGAAAAGCAAAGTGGTAAGAAATGGGTATTGCCAACAAGCGCTTTTTGTAAACGGTTTAATCCAAACCTGGGAACGAGGCGGCAGGACGACCAGTCTGTTTGCCCGCCTTCTTGCCCTTTCTCTTCTTCTTTTTCCTGTCCCTCTTGGGGCGGTCGCTGTCGCTATCGCTCCCGTCATCGTCATCCGAGTCATCGCTGTCGGCAGGTCGCTTGACGCCTTGGGGTTCCACCACCTCCTCCTCTTCCTCCTCTTCTTGGGCAGGACCAGCCTCGGCCCAGACCTTGACAACCCTGCCGCCACCACTGATCAGCCTGTTATCGTAGTCGAAGTGAAGGGCAGCAACAACCTCAACCTCGTCATGCTGGAATGTGGCCTGGACCTCTCTACGCTTCAGATCAACAATCTTCATGGTGCCATCGCCGACGCCAACCACGGCCTTCTTGCCCCAGCCGAGCTCATCAGGAACCCGAACAATGGCGTCGAGGCTTTCTCCGTCTCTCTTGGTCTCTCCGGGGGCAACATGAATGCGTTCCTGCTGGTCATCCCAGGCGCCACGATCCCAAAGGGTCAAGACACCTCCGCCAGTGCCGACGGCAATAACAGCGTTATTGCGCATGCCCTTGGGGCCCAAGCCGGTAGGAATGACTGTGGCGCATAGTAGCTCGTCCTCCTGGTCCTCCGAGGTGGCCATGATGCCGTGTCTCAGGTCGGTGACGGCCAGGGTGCTGCCGCCGGTAGAAACCCACTGTTTGGGGAAACCGGAGGTACTCTCAGCCGTAGCGGGGAGAGGGGTCAGACTGGAGATGTAGTCGGAGTGGGGGACATGCTTGCGGACGGGCTTGGGATTCAGGGAGCCATTCTCGCGGAGGTCGAAGATGTAGAGAGAGCCAGAGTCGGTGCCGAGCAGGAGGGTCTGGGGCGAGAGGGTGTGGAGGATGGCTGGGGTGTCACTCTGACTGCTGGTGCTGTTGACGGGGGGGAGGCCGATCTTGGAGATGACGACGCCGGTCTCGGGGGAGAAGTGCTTGACGATGGAGTCGGTGCCGGCCGAGTAGAGGGCTGGGAATGAGCAGTATGGTTAGCTGGCGAGGTAGTGTGTCGCAAGAAAGGCCGGCCTACTTACACTCTCCGTCGGTGCTATAGGTCAGAGTGCGGCAGCTGCCCTTGTGGCGGTGGGTACTCCAGACACTCTTGATGACGCCCTTGCCGCCGGTGATGCTGCTGTTCTCGTCCTCGTCGTCGTCGCTGTCCTCGTTGGTGGGGATGCGGAAGGTCTCGACGCGGCCGTTGGAGAGGCCGACTGTAAGCAGAGGCTTGGACGGGTGCACCACCTGCGTGAACAGGTCCGCCGAGAGCGGCAGGGTGCAGAGGTTTTCCAGCATGGCTTTGTTGCTTTTGCTGCTGTTCGTGTTTTCGTTGCTATTGCTGGGGATGTTGCTGTTGTCTGCAAACACACTTACGATGTAAGATAGGTATGGTATGCCTCAGGTGAATTGACTAGCGAGAATAAGGTATGGATGGTAGCACAATTGGTAGGTACCTCGAGGGTAGGCACCGTCCACACGAGTGTGACTGAATTGAATTGACTGAATGCAGTTTTTTTTTTGGAGCTCAGGTCTTTGATCTTGCCCAGTCCGGATTAGCGCCAACAGCGACCCGTGCCATCAAGGTCCTTGACGGAGCATCAATGGAGACGGAGCTAGCAAAGTCCGTGCAGCAAGATTCCTAAACGCTTATGCCAGGGCCAGGCACATGCACCTTTTGAGAGGGCGCCGGGAGGAGATGGGGAATGAGATTGGGGTAGCACTAACAGCTGCAGCAGCGACTGAATGGATGCAATGTCGTCACCACATGCACCCGATCTCTTTTGGAGACCCCAATCAGGCTTCACACTATGTACCTACTGAACACTCACTGCACACTGCACCAACAGACTGCACTGCATAATGAATAATAGTGTCCCGTCAAGATGCCCAACCCATCCATATCTCTCTACCTTACTTCTTGTTGAAACTTCTTTTGTCTCTGCACACCCACTAGTGTATCTCCAACTGATTAACTTCAACGCCGTGTTCCTCTCCTCTTCCCCTTCCACATAGCAGCATAATATCTCTTGTGGCTCGAGTGACATGTTGATCTTCCTCAAGCTTCCACTGCTCTTGGGCGCCATGATGCTGGCCATGATGGGCTCCAGTGTCATGGCCGCCACAAGCCGCCCTCTTCGGAGTGTCATGTATCTGACTGGGTATATTTACGAGCGCATCATCACTCGGCTAGTCACTACACAGCTAACTCGTTCTCTCAATCGCAGTCAGCACCCGGTTGCGCCCCAAATCGACCAGCTCGACCATGTCACCCATGTTGCTCTCGCCTTCATGAGCCCCGGCATCTTCAACGACCCTCTAAACGAAGAATGGCCTCTGTTCACCACCGTCGACGATGTCCGCCCCCGCTTCCCCAAGGACACAAAGGTCTTGATTGCCATTGGCGGCTGGGGAGACACGATTGGCTTCTCCGTCGCCGCCCTCAACGACGAAACTCGCACCCTGTTCGCCGAGAATGTTGCCAAGATGCTGGACGCTACCGGCGCCGACGGTGTCGATATCGACTGGGAGTACCCCGGCGGCAACGGCGAGGACTACAAACAGATCCCCAACTCGGACAAGCACTGGGAGATCGCTGCCTACCCCATCCTGCTCCAGGAACTGCGCGCTGCTCTTGGTCTCGACAAGATCATCTCGGCCGCCGTACCCGGTCTGGACCGCGACATGCTGGCCTTCACCCGCGAGACCGTCCCCCGCATCATGCGCCATGTCGACTTCCTCAACGTCATGACCTACGACATGATGAACCGCCGCGACACCGTCACCAAGCACCACACCGGCGTCGAGTTGGGCCTCAGGGCCGTCGATGCCTACGTGGCTGCCGGTGCCGCGCCCCAGAAGCTGAACCTCGGCTTTGCCTTTTACGTCAAATACTTCAAGACCGAGCAAGATGCCTGCGCCCAAGTGTCGCCAGTTGGCTGCCCCACCGTCGAGATGGAGGATCCCGTGTCAGGAGCCGACCTCGGTCGCTCTGGTGCTTTTTCCTGGCATGACCATGTGCCAAAGCACCTCCGTGCCTCCTTTGAGAGGGCGCTTACACAGGGAGTTTACGATGACGAGCAAGGCGGCTACTATTACTGGGACCCCATCGAGGCACTGTGGTGGACGTTCGATACTCCGGATGCCATCAAGCAAAAGTTCCCCAGAATCATGGAGAAGCGCCGGTTGGGAGGTGTTTTTGCATGGGGCCTAGGCGAAGATGCCCCCGACTACGAGCACCTGGCCGCGCTCAACGAGGGTTTGGCCAAGCTAAAAGGAGAGGTTACTGATGAGAAAGATGAGCTATGATCACTGGCAACGGAAGCGACCGTATTTAGGGAGTTTGGAAAGGATGCAAGGTGTTGATGGAGTCAGGCGCACGTAGGAAATGTTTATCGTTTTGGATATGCTATAGCCGAGAAGTCACGGGCTTGAGAGTAGGTACTCCCATGTGAACATGCTTCCACCTTGTTTTCATCCCTTTCTTCCCCTACTTTTGGTCCTTACTTTGGTTTCGGTCCTTGCTTCTATTCTACCTGATTTTGACAATATGTACGTATAGCACGCTTCATTTCGCTGCCTGACACACCAGCCGCGTTCGATTTCTTCATTTAGTTGCCTACTGCTCCAACTGGCCATTTCTCCCATCAAATCTCGTCTTTATTCTCGCTCACCACCGAACAAGTTCACCACTGGCGCTTACATTTGTCATTTAAGTCGACCATTCCGCAACACGAACATGCCCGTATTCCTGGATAGTTAATATAATGGCACAACCTCACCATGATGTGCCACCTACAGCTGCCAGTTTCGATCGAGCCGTGTTTTCCATAGGCCAAATGCGCGTCGAAAAGCTGGAACCCACGGTCAACCACAGAAGTCTCATGCCCATAATCCTCCTCCACGGAGATTATCATACGGGATCGGTAACGAACCTGTTTCCAGTCATCCTATTTTATTATGCTAACATTGTGTGATTTTTCGACAGATGTGGCTCACTAAGCCCGATAGTCGCCCGGGCTGGGCTGTTTTCTTCGCTGAACGCGGCCATCGAGTCTATGCTCCGCAACTGCCCTTTCAAGGTCAATCTGATACCTCGGCATATTACGAACGAGTGAAAGTCATCACCCCTCGAACCATTGAGAACCTATACACGGCCACCAACAAAACCAATGATCCAGAGTGGCTGGTGGCAAAGAAGCACACACAGTGGCCAGGAGTAAGTCGCGCTCCAAATGCGGTGCAGAAACAATATCTGGATATTTTGAGGCTAATAGTGGAAACTAAATCTAGAGCGGCGTCCGGGGCAATCCCATCTTTGACCAGTACTTCAACCAACTAGTTCCCATGTACATGGACGTCCACGAGCGCCAGGCAGCCGCTCAAGAGGCGGTCGAGAGCCTATTGCGGCTCCTGAAGCGTCCAGCTATTCTTATCGGCCATGGCAGCGGCGCCAACGTTGCCTGGCTGGCAGCCGATGTAGCCCCTGACCTTGTCCATGCTATCGTTGCAGTCGAGCCACTCGGGTCTCCGTTTGGCTCTGCGCTCCAGAACACGAACGGAGAACTGAGGCCGACGGGCAAATTCGCAAGGGCTGCTGGCGTACGTCCATACGGCCTGACGGATATACCAATGCAGTTCGATCCACCCGTTGCGGCGCCAGAGTCATTTGAGGAGCTGTTTGGTGGTATATATCCAGATTTTGAGCCCATCCCGGTTACCAAGTTTTACGCAAGGGGCCGACAAGGAAAGTTCTGCTTCGAACAAGACCTTGCTGGAATGCGTGTTGGAAGTCCTACCGAATCTAGGGCAGAACCCCGGAAGCTTACGAATTTGGTGGGAATCCCCCAACTCGTGGTAACAACGGAAGCGAGCTTCCACCGTCTCTCGGATTGGGCGACGGTACATTTTCTTCGCCAGGCCGGGACAACAGTCAAACACCACAGACTCGAAGAGCACGGAATCCGCGGAAATGGACACCTTTGCTTCCTGGAGAAAAACAGCAACGATGTGGCCAACCATGTGCTCAAATGGTTGCATAACGAGACAGGTGTCCCGGAAGTACAGGTTCTTCAATCTCGGCCCTCTCCTTCCCAGACTATCAGCGCATCCGGTGACCATGGACAGTCCGCGACCACCACTTCTGGAAGGGCGTGCCCGACTAAGAAGAGACCAGCGGAAGCTGAACTGAAGCCAGTTGGCACTATGGCGAACTCAAGTCAAAGACCAAGCAAAAAGGTACAAACCAACACATCGCAGCCTAGCACCCTCAACCCTCACACATCAGTCCATGGTGACGTTCGGAACAGTGACAGTCGCGATACTCCCCGCGTATTTCCTCCTCATTCCTCGGTCGTCAGAAACATCCAGGTTGCTCAAGGTATTGCCCCCGTACCCTCGACGCCTCACAACAGACCTATCCAGCGGACTGGTCAAACCACGCTAAGCGAACGGCGAATTGTGGAAGTCACTTGGAGTCCCGATAGTCCAACTCCACGTCAGATATAGGATCTTGAGAGACAAGCAACGTTGGCTTTAAGTACCCTTTTAACACTTCCGGAAGACAGCTAAAAAAAAAGCGGCGCGGGCAAAAATATCACTGACAGGCAGAGGCATATTAGGAACAACTTGGTGCAAAGAACAAAAACTCGATTCCAGTCGATAGCGTTGTTGTGAAAGGCGGCGAGTGTCAATATCGCTCAAATTTATGCCGCACGTTCTCGGTCGCGAGGCTAAAATCCCATTTCTTAATATCCACGACTGCTTTTGTTAATCGCCAGACTCTTCTAGATGCGGTGGGTATATTCTTACAGGTCCTTTACTACGGCTCAAGGGATGCCTCACTGCTCTCTAGCCATGTTAAGCAGTGGTATGTCCAAGCTGAAATCCCACTCATCATCCCGTAAAACCGATCCGCCAATCGCCTAGAGGTCCGAACAGTATCGCTCCAATCCAAAGCAACCTTCTCATGCACACCGATATTGATATGGCTGCATCATGCATCCAGTAGACTAAGTGCTGTGTGGGTGGCCGAATCTGCTGCACTAGCACAAGATGGAATAGCTTTGCATAGCATATTGGGTGCAGTTCGAGCCCATGTATGTAGCAAATAGACGGCTACTTCTGTGCTCTCAACGTTGTGCTTGGTTGCATCTGGTCCCCATTGGTGACACAGTATCGCAACCAGTAGCTGTCTCTTGTCATGTAGTCTACTCTACGTTTCGCCGTTCTTGTATCTCCCATTGCCCATTCTTGCTCAAAATTTCCTTCTTGTCAGACCAACATATCCAGACCAAAGGTCTCAACTATGGCATGACGAATTTCCGTTCCCACCCGAGCAATGTCGCATCCCCGGGAAAGACATCGGTGCTGCTGTACTTGAGGACTCGCCACTCCATTTCCTACAAATACAGAGCTTCCATACCCTCGGCCTCCAGTCAGTCAAAGTGCCATCCATCCATGATATGATTTTCGAACTTGGTCAAGCTAGGTTACGGCCTAGACGTAGACGGTATGCATTCATATTATTTTGCCGGTACTAACAACCCGTGCGGCTAGGTTCTACCATCTCAAAGTGTGCAAATAGCTCATCGAGTCCTTTCTGACAACATTCAATTAGAGAAAATAAGATTACGATTCGCCGACTCAGCTTGAATACATGGTATGGAGGTTCCAGCAATCACCAAATCAAGGCGGAGCTCGAGCTCTAGCTCGTCCAGCTCGTCCAGCTCGTCCAGCTCTTCTCCATCTAAGGCATCCTCTGTTCACGCTGACACTTCGGCAGCGCATGAGCCGCTTTTGAGTGTAAGCTTAACCGAGCACCGTGTACAACCTTGATCCCCTTTAGCTTTCTCATGGGCTGGATACACTAACAACAACTCTTGGATTTCTCAGGCAATGGCCTCTTCTCAGCAGTCAGAGTCAAATGACGTGGCTCAAGATGCCAACGCTAACATCGATCACAACAACGAGGACACCGCCGCCACCACCAACGACAACAACAGCATCCAGAATGATGATATCAATGAACAAGCTCCCTTGGTCACAGGCCCACGTCCCACAGCACCAGCACCCACCCCCATCCAGCACATGCACTACGAATCCCTCCCAGCCCTCAACCTAAACCATCCCCCCTTCTACGGCACCATCCGTGACTCAACGGATGGCGTCCCGCAGTACCATCCGTTTTCTGACGAAGATGACGAAGACGAGGAATATGAAGGGGGAGGAGCAGGGGAGTCTGGCGGGGGAGATCAATTCTCGCGAACCCAGCGGGTTGATCATGCCTACAGTGACCACCGTCCTGACCGTGAGGGGGGGCAGCAAAGGGATGAGGAGGAGAGCGACTCGGGCGGGAACGGGAGGAGGAGCAGGTGGGAGAGAAGAAGGGGGGCTATCATGAGGATAAGAACGGCGATGATTTGGATTATTGCGTTGCCGCTTTTGTTGGTGGCGGTGTGGCTTTGTGTTATTCTGTTCAGGAAGGATAAGAGTTCGTGGGAGACTGAAACGAGGTGAGTGACCATGGCACGATACGAGAGGGAGAAGCTGCTAGGGATTGTGTAAGAGAGGTGTTCGAGACTCAGCTGGCCCGTGATGGAGAGAAAAAGGGTTTCGAGGTGGTCAACGATTGCGAGAATGTCTTAATGTTTAGGCCTGCCTGGACAATGTTTGCCAGAAGAGCGCACTTGCGATGGTTTTATTTCCCGACCCAGGTCAAATATCAGTGGTTGTAACTCATGAACCATGTCATCATTCCATGGATCGAGACCTCTTGCGCCAAGCCTGAAGGATCAATTGGGTTTCTTACAAGCGTTTCGGCAGTTCCGGACCATGTATCACATGGGGCATTGACGAACTCGTCAAGTTCCTGCCCAGCTTCAAGTTTATACACTGGAAGCCCGAACATGCTGTCGGACCCTCACCTTATGCCGACTTCTGTGGATATCTGATGCAAGACACAGGAGTATCTTAGAGTCCCAATCGCTTTAAGACAATCTGCAAAGTTCTAGACACGGCACAATCATGAAAAACAGCTTCTATCCCTCTAGCGGCGTACAGCCCAGCCTCTCAGTAGAGAACACCTCTCAAGCTTCTCTAGTTACGGAGAATATTCAAAATCACACCACCCGTGTATCCACAAGGCTTTCCTATACATAATATAGGGCGGATGGTTGTGGATCGGTGGCAGCAACGAGCCTGTCGGTTACATTCCTACCTAGTTTAGTCGCTCGCTCTTCTCCGAACCACATGTTGAAAACTGTACAATAAATGCCGGCTTGGCTGTTAGCTCGGCACGCCCATTATACAGGACAAGACGTGTCCTAAATTATCTCAAACTGTTTAAGAACAGTATTTAATGGCTAAGTACATGTTCGAAATGTATTAAAAACAGTCAAGGGGGCATATGTAGCATTAAATTACGCTTTAGATGTGAAACGAAACAGGTCGATTAGGCATGTAAACGTCTAGGAAGGATGACCAGAGGTCTCGAGCTAACAAACAAACCAGTATTGGACTGTACGGTAGCCTCCACCGGCAGGACGACTCAAGTCTGAAGAAATCTCACACCCATCCCAGCGCCTCCCAAAGGGGTTAGCCTTCGGCAAGGGAGCCGCGGAGAGACTCCCTTGGCTAGGGCAACTGAGCGAGGCTAAGGCCTGAGTTGTATGGTACCTTTCATGCAATGCTGCACAGCACACGCGACCCTTGAGGCAAGCCCCGTCCGCCAGCTCTGAGGGGACCAGTAGGACGACACATCTTCAGCTTTGGCCTCTTTTGCAATAAAGCTAGCTCGGTAGATGCCTTTCTGGAACTTCATCCCCGGTTCCTTTGCCGACGAACCTTTAATCTGCCCAAGAGAAATAGATCGATGGCCGACGATGTATAAGAGAGGAACCGCTTCCCGAGCTCTGGTGAAGACATGGCGCCTGCGGTCTACACTCGGAACTTGCCCCATAACCGAGGAATAAACGAACAGCATGCTTGGTAAAGACCTGCTCGGGAAGTCCTTCGGGGCCCTCCTGGTTTCTCTCTTGGCTGCTTGCCCATCCCTCATCGAGGCAACCCTGGTGCGTGCGACAGTGGTAGACACCCGATCTGTCGCTGTCTCCAACTACACCTTTGTCATTGCCGGTGGCGGTATCGCAGGACTTACGCTCGCTGATAGGCTGACAGAAGATCCTGATGGTGAGTTTTACCGCTCAAACTAGAGGAGTCCACGATCTTTCGATATGTTGCTGACCACGCCGCTAGTGTCCGTTCTTGTCATCGACGCCGGCTCTCTCGACCAAGGAGAGGATGGCATCTTGATTCCTGGTTCATATGCTCCCTATCTGTACTTCTGGCCTGGCCTGATGACAACGCCTCAGGAGGGCCTCAACAACCGCTCCGTCTTTACACCAATAGCCCAGGTAATCGGTGGTGGCAGTACTATTAATGCTATGGTCTTTGTAAGGTTTGTACCTCTATCCTCTCTCTGCGTGACTACTATCAGCTTGCTGACAAGCGGATAGAGGCAAAGCCGACGATTACAATAAATGGGAAGCCATTGGTAACCCTGGGTTTAGCTGGAACAAGTTCCTGCCTTTCTTCCTCAAGAGCGAGAACTTCACACGTCCCGACCCTGCCTTTGCCAAGACGGCCAATATCTCCTGGGATGAGTCCGTCCGGGGCAAGGGCGGATCTGTGCAGTACACATATCCCAACTACTACTACCCTGGAAGCGGTGAGTGACTTCGGCCCGGGAAGTGGGAGTGCAAACCGGACAGTGCTAACTGAGAGGATCATAATATAGCAAACTGGTGGAATGCTGCCAAGTCTGTAGGAATTTCTGCTGTCAAGGACCCCAACGCTGGTAACGACCTTGGTGTCTATTGGTTTCCGCATGCTGTCGATGCTAGAAGTAGGACTCGGAGCCACTCCAAGAAGAACCATTATGACCGGGTCAAGGACTCGCGACCTAACTACCACATCCTCCCATCCAACATGGTATCCAAGGTCATCTTCCGCGGCAACACGGCAGTTGGTGTTGAGTACTTGCCCACGGCCGGCGGAAACGCCTCGACCGCCTACGCCACCAAGGAGGTCATCTTGGCTGCCGGAGCTCTGAACACACCCAAGATCCTCCAACTGTCCGGTGTTGGCCCCAAGAAGCTTCTCCAGAAGCACAGGATCCCCGTCGTCGTTGATCTCCCTGTTGGATTTAATTTGCAAGACCAGTTAACCCTCAAAGTCCCCTACACGGCAAGCAACAACCTCTTCCCCAACTCTGGCTCCATTGCCAACAACGCCACCTACGCTGCCGAGCAACGAGCGCTCTATAACTCGAAGAAGCAGGGTGCCTTCACCATCGTGAGCACGCTCAGCACCAACATTGCCATGATGAGCCTCTCTCAAACGACCTCCTCATACAAGAAGATTGTCTCGAACGCCCGCGCTGCTGCCGCTCCCTATTCGCTCTCCGCGGAGGTTGATCCAAGCGTTCTGGCCGGTTACGCTGCCCAACGAAAGCTCATTCTGGAGCAGTACGAGAATGGCAAGGCCGGTATCGGCTCGCTCCACTGGAACACGGCGGATGGCGTGACCATCTATCTGAATAAGCCTCTCAGCCGCGGCATGGTAACAATAAACTCGACTAACGCCCTCGAGAACCCGCTAGTGAACTACCGTACCGTCACCGACCCGGCTGACATAGAGGTCCTCACTGCTCTGTTCCGCAAGAACAGAGAGCTGATGAGTGCTCCGGATATGGCGTCACTGGGAGTTGCTGAGGCGGCACCCTTTGGCGAGCACATCACTGCGGATAGTGAACTCGCCTCTGTCTTCCGTGAAACTCTTGACCCCTCGAATGCCCACCAGTGCTGTACGGCGCCTATGATGCCCCGCGCGCTTGGTGGTGTCGTTTCCAGCGAGCAGAAGGTGTATGGCGTAAGCGTTTGAGGGTTGCCGATATTAGCTACTGGCCATTTCAGATTTCGGGGGCTCCGACCGCGACTATGTATGCCTCTGGCGAAAGGGTGAGTTGTTTCCATCTGTGTTGTGCAATTACATGGTTCTTGATGCTAACATGGATTCTGGACTAGCTTGCGGATGCTATCAAGAAGGAGTATAAGTTGGCAGAGTACAAGCGGTAATCTGGGATCGTTAGGTAACTTGGTGATTGGGCCCGCCATCTGGGCTATAATGTTTCGAGGGGCTGTACATACCTTCTTGCATATTTGCATATAGTGAATTCCAACACCTTGCAGAGGTGACCAGGACCCCATCAGTCTGTTTGAGGACCACCTTTTTTGACCAAGTAATTGGTGATGGTGTTCTCCTTCTTTTCCGGTGTCGCTGGGGCCATCTTCCTCCCACTTCCCGTCCTAGCCCCCATCAATGCCATCGTCTCCTCGAACTCCTTCTTTGGCACGGCGCCCCCACTAGCCTCCTTATGTCCTCTCGCGAAAGACTCTCCCAGCCTCTCCCTCAGACTGGGATCCTCGGCCGTTCCCACGATGTCGTTTAACAGCTCAATGATGTTCACCTCTCACCTTCCACCAACTCTTTCCCTTGCACACTTGGCTACTCTTCAGGAAAAGTTCACTTTGCCTTCCAGATACCCCTCATTAGCAGCCATCACCACCTCAAGCTTAGCACTCTTCAAGTGTTCCGCCCACCTCGTCGCGATGACCGGGTGCACCTGTGCCTTGCTCTTCATCCTCAAGACCGCCACGCGTCCGTCACTCGAAAACTTTGGCGGGACGTGTGTGCACCGTTCCACTTCGGCGTTAACCTCTGCCCTCGCCGCCAAGAGCGCCTTGTTAATGAGCAGATCTGCCGGGCCAATGGCCTGTGTAAGTGCATCCCATGCGACAGGGACGTTGTATGCGGCCGTGCGCTGCGGTGCGTTGATGAGGGAAACGGAGTCGTTGAGCTTCTTGCGCGTGTACCGCTTCAGAACTTCACCCATATCTGGAAAGGGTGGCTGCCACTTGAAATTTGTGCCTAAATCGCCGTGCGTCCCAAGAACGGCCAACCAGGCGCACTGCTCGTCAATGGCAGGGTGGAGAGGACGGCATATGAGGTAGGTTAGGAGGGCGGATGTAGCTACAGGGGGGGGATTGCAGGCAGTGACGTGCTGAGAAGCAGACGAGAACTCATCCTCGGCAGCCTGGTGATGATCGATGATGAGGGCTCTGTGGCTCGGGATATCGACAACAGGCAAGGACCGCCGGGAGCCTTGGTCCAGGACGAAGACGTAGGAGGGAGACAACTCTGCCATGGCTGTGCGTTCCGAAGGGTCGTGTATGTTATTCCCTCTTTGGACGAGATGAGTGGTGATAAGACTCAAGGGCAGGCCAAGCAGGACGAGAGTCTGTTGGAGGATTGAGCCAGATGCGAGTCCATCCGCGTCCTTGTCAGGAGCGATGAGCGTTTCGGTTTTCGCAGTCGCACTATTTGGTATCAGCAGCTGTTCACACAAACCACTTCGAAGTACGGATTGTCGGACCAATCAAGGATAAAGTGTCTTGCCGCTTCCATCTCCTCCTCTTTGGCGGGCCAGTCTGCTGTTCCGGTCTTGCCGCTATCATCGCTGGCCGGTGATCCCATCCGTGCCCGTTTCGAACTCGGAGGTCCCGTGGACGGAGATACAAGCCGCTTCATGGTGCAAGTGCTGAAGTATCGGGACTGTAGTCTGCGACTGGTAGAGGTCAGTATACGAGCGTGTTCGGATATCTGGACATGCACCCGTCTCAAGGGGAGCATAACGACACCTCTAGCGTGCAGGCCGCCCCGTCATGCTCCGCGTAGGTACCGGTAGGTTGGGTCGAAGGGGAGATGTGATGTGCTTCGTCATACATGATTGGGGATGTGTCAAAACAAAGACCGACCAGCAGAAATGACGTCAGCCAGTTGGGACGCCGCTTTCAAGGCTCATAGGCATACTACTCCGATCTAAGTGCGCTCGTTCTCCTTGCACTCCCAAAAGCAATGGAATTGTTTGACTCGAAAACCCGCTTAATGCATGTTTACACAACCTCGAGGGCTTCCCTCCGAACGCCTGGAACACCACCAATGACAGATTCATTTTCCACCCAACAGACGCAACACGTCCACGAAGCAGACTCGTCTACCGCAGTCCAAGCTAGCCTCGACGAGCAAGGCGCAACATGTACAGAAGAATGTAAAAGAAGGAGGACGACCCGACGCCGTGCTGTTCGCTCAACCAGTATCTAAGGCCAGAGCTGTTTAAACTACTTTTCTCTGCGCTTATTCGACCTTTTGGATCAACGACTCGGAGGGCTTCACCCGTTGGGCCCACTCACTGCACACAAAGTTAGCCATGGCTGCATAATTTTTGAGGGAGATGCAGGGTGTGGGCCAAGAGCACTTACGTCCAGCTTCCATCATAAACCTTTCTCGTCTCAGGCGAGCCAAATTGCGCCTCGTTGAGTGCTGTCTCGAGGACACAGGCCGTGACGCCGGTTCCGCAGCTGGAGATGATGGGCTTTGAGGGATCAACGCCCGCCTTGGTGAAGACCTCCTTCAACTTGTCGGCTGGAAGGAAGGCCTTGGTGTTGGGGTCCAAAACAGCGCTGAAAGGAATGTTGATGGAGCCGGGCATGTGGCCCGAGGACAGACCCTCTCTCGGCTCTGGCTCCTCGCCGCTCCACCGACCGGGTGATCTCGCATCCAGGATCTGCACGCCCTCGGCGCCCTCTTTGTTGGAATCGATGGCAGCTTGACGGACATCCTCGAAGCTCGCGACCTTGTCCTCGTCCATCTTGGGGATGGGGTATGTGCCGCACTCGATCGTCCAGACATTTCCGGACTCGGTAGGGAGACCCTCGTCGACCCAGAGCTTGAAGTTGTTGAGGATGTGGACCTTGGGGTGGCCGAAGACCTTCATGGTCCAGCCAACACGGGGGGCGCTGAAGATGCCCAGCTCCTGGCTGTCGTAGATGACCACAGTGTCCTCGTGGCGAATGCCGAGCTCGCTCATGGCAGCGGCGAAGTCCTTTGAGCTCGGCAGCATGTGGGGGTAAGGGCTGTGCCTATCGATGACCTTGTCGAGGTCGAAGAAGCGTGCCTTGGGGATCCTCTTCTCGATGAAGACGTCGAGGCCGGTACGCTTCTGGGGGTCGTTTGGAAGAAACCAGGAGGCGCATAGAGGAATGACACGGGGTTCGGACGAGATGGGAGAAGGAGGAGCCTTCTTGAGGGCTTCGTGCAGCTCCTTGGGGGTGACGAGATAGCTCGAGAAGGAGCGGACAGCCCCCGTTCTGGCGACAGTCGAGCGCATCGAGGCCCGGAGGGGGCTAAGGACTCGTACGAGAGCCATTTTGAATGTTGGGCTTGTGCTGTCTACCTGTTGTCGGCAATGGCAGGTCGCGTTGAGTATGCGCCGGGCTACGAAGAAGAAGAAGAAACAAGGCGACGATAAGGGATTGCCGTGATGCAGCAGTCGATGTCGGCGGTGCTGTGGTTGGAAGTAATTCGAAACAAGCGACAGACGGCCCGATGCAAGGGACCTAGACGTAGAAGCAGAGATAAAGGTAGGGAGGTTGGTTAGGTAGGTTGGCGTCGCCTGGTTCCTGACGTCCGGACTGCGTTGCGTTGCGTCTTAGGAACTGATTGCGGAAAAGACGAGACGAGCTGAGCTTGGTCGTAACAGTCAGTCTCTGTCACTTGAAGTATCTAGCAAATCTACGGGTTGGCAAGCAAAGAGAAAAAGGGCCTTGAGGAGACAAATCGAACTAGAAGAAGAAAAAGGACCCAGCAAGCCGAAATCTCGTCAGTAGCCCGAGGATGAGGATTGTGGATGCGGGGTTTAGACTGCCTTCTTTGTCATAACTTTTGGGATGGGACCTTGGCTGTCCATGCGATGGAGGCAGGTGGAGGTCCAGCATGGAGTCAAAATGGTGCAAAGTGCAGGGGCTCCTTGGAGGGCGCTGGCGCTGTGGTACCCGCCTACAGAGCTTTTCATCCAAACTTTTTTAAAATGTTCTTAGACTTAGAGAGCTTGAGCCACATCGATTCCTCTACTTACGACCATTGGTTGGTTACCTAGAGGTACTTACACACGAGTCGGGTTCTTGCCTGGTATGAGTACGCTACAGCACGTACATGAGTGCTGGACTGCTACCATAAGGCATTGCTGGTATGTAATTTATAACAGGTCAATAACCGCCGACATCAAAGCAGGTTCGTTTCCTGTTTCGGTGTCAATCGGCCGTTTACCACCTCCAGCATCCATCTACCTACACAACACAGTCAAAATATTTGAGTCGGGCCTCGGTTACGCCATCCGATCGAATATCATCACGCACCAATAAGCAACGGCATACCGGATCTCTCAAGTCTCACGCTCACATTGAAGGAAGAAACTCGAACAAGAAGAAACGAAATGAAGGTCAAGATCAAAAAGTGGAACGCCGTCGCGACTTGGCGATGGGACCTCCCGGAAGACGATGTGTGCGGCATCTGCCAGGTCCACTTTGATGGCACATGTCCGACTTGCAAATATCCGGGTGACGAGTGCAGCTTGTGTAAGATGCCAGCAAAATCCTTCCATGTCAGGATATACCTACCTGTCCAGCTGACCTTTTGGTGTGTGTGTGTGTGTGTGTGTGTGTTCCTAGTGTCTGGCAAATGCGGTCACAACTTTCACATGGTTTGTTGTTTCTTTTCTACTGTTTCTCTTTCCTATCTCTTTCGCTGACCATCACAACAACAGCATTGCATCCTCGAGTGGATCAAACAGGACTCTGCGAAAGGACAGTGCCCCATGTGTCGTCAAAGTAAGTTCTTTTCTTTTCGTGTTTGGACTCGGACGCGGCGCCTGACATGTCTGTCAAAGAATTCGAATGGAATGGCCGCCCCAATGCCACCGAAACATCACTGGCCGAAACAACCCAAGGCCAAATGCTCGCCTAGACCTAGACCTGAGATCGCGGTAATCGCCACGGGGCAATTGGGATCTCTTGCAGCTTACCTCCATACTGAGAGCCATGGACTGGCAAACCAGAAATTGAGCTTCCATATTATGAAAACAACCCACTTGCATTAACGACTTTGGCGAGCGTGGTTACCGTGGTGCATTGTTGATGTTTACATCTTGTTTCCGTCTGTGCCGTCAAGACTGTCTTACCCACTCCTTTAGAGAACTGCATCTGCAGTAGAGCCCCCACCCAGAGACCCATCTGTACGGGAGTCCCCACTCCTTAACGCCTGCCATCCTTGCAGCCACTGTGACAGTAGCTCTTAGTGATGGGCAACTGATAAGGTAGTGTACAGTACCTAGCTCTCAAGGTACCTACCTTCTGCGGATGCATGGGGGACATACATCACCTGGCCAGCAGCACCGTCGTCACCTTCATGGCATAGAACAGCCCGTCTTCCTTGGGAGCCTTTCTTCCTATACCCTACCACCATAATCTTTCAATGTAATCTTTGTGTCGGTTGCTTGAACATCTCTGATACTATACAAAACCGGCCGAAAATCTCGCCTGACTACATACTTCTTCTACACATCACTGCCAGCACCATCTCAGAGGTACCCGCGTTGTACTGACAACAACCCATCGCCCTCCCGCCGTCCCTCTCTCTGCTGTATCACCGCCTCTATATACGCAAAAAAGTGAACATGGCCGAACCGGATTCCTTCAACCAACCGGGCTCCGCCGCCGCCGCCCGTTACTTCAGCTCCTCGAGTCCCCGGCCATCCGTCGCAAGTCGAACGAGTCGCTCCAGTTTACGGCGAGAGCACGACCTACAGACAGACCAGCTACAGCCTCAAAGTCGTCGCCTGTCGTCAGCACAATCCCACACCCCGTCTCCCCAGCCACCGCCGAGCATCGAGGAGCACACGTTACCGGGCATTGGCCAACAGCAGCAGCATCAACGACAAGGTCAAGAAGGAGAGGACGGTGGAGGAGAGCGAGGGGGCGGGGTCCCAGCCATCGTTCTCTCCCCTCTTCACTCTTCTCTCCTCCAGCACCCACTCCTCCCAGCGCCAGACCATCCATCATCCAACCGTTCACTACGTCTTTGCCGACGACGACCCCGACATCCTCGCCGCCGCACTAGCGTACCATCACCGGGGAGGAAGTGAACAAGATGCCACGTCAAGTCCAGACGACGATGAAAGAGCCTACAACAGGGAGCCAAGGGATCGCGCCGTGATCCTCGACATGGCGTCCTCCTCGAACGGCAATGGGCTCCAGGTGGCATGGGCAAGTAGCCTGTCTCCCGACTGGGCAGTGGTCTCGGCACAAGTGATGCGGATGGAAGATCAAGCCAACAGTAGCAGCGGTGGTGCCAATGCCGCAGCAGGTGGAGGAGTTTTCGCAGCATCGTCACCAAGTCTACATACTGGTCCATTGATGCTCAAGATCGAAGGCGTGGCCATTGAGCCTCCGTCGTCGTCCTCGTCAGGATCACCGTTATCGTCATTGCGTTTGGGCGGTGGCGGCGGGAGACTGTCATCCACTCCAGATGGTGATTTGCAGTCTTCTCTGACGGGCAAGGGCAAGCAAGCTGCGACGGCGGCCCCTGCGCCTGAAGAATACCCAACTCTGCTGCAAGACTTTGAGAGGCGAATAGAAATGCTAAAGCGGGTCGCCGAGGCTGGTTCAGAGAGGCAAAGACGTATAGTTTCCATGGATCACCCAGCATTCGACCATGATCACGCCGATGGCCGAGGTAGCGGGAAAGCCGATGTACCCCTTGTCGAGATGCGAGAAGCTGGGGATATGGGTGCTCAAGATTGATTGAGGGAGTGGGTGGCTGTGAGTTTGCATGCTTGGGGCACACGGTCCTCTACTAGGACTTTAACGGGCTTGATTTTGATTCTTTTGGTGCTCACATGACGAATCCAGGCAGTCTCGCCCTCAATCTTTTCCACCGCCCTTCGAAGGGCTCCCCAGATATGTGAACAGGAGGGTGTACCAAGCCATGCAGCTTGAGACCGCGCGCTACGCTTGCTCTCGATTGGCATATCGGAGCAATATCGTCGTAGGGCAATATGAATGGCCTGATGGCAAAATTCGACACTATAGGTCACACGGCGATACTGACGTTTCCTGCAATATTTGTTACTGTTGGAAGTATGATCTTATTCATTATAAACGCCTTGGCTGATGCTTAAATACTGACGCTGCGAGGCGAATAAGAGGTACCACAATATGGTGCACGATCGAGCAGAGTTTACCAGCAACTCTTACCTACACTAGCCTTCTGCGTTGTGATCCTCCTCAAACCAAGATATATTCCAAACGACCACTCATTTGGCCGCCTGTTCCCTCCCGTTGTATATCCAACGGCCAAATTGCGTACAGAAGATAACGCAAAACACATGATAGTAGAAACGAAAAAACCACCCGCTCTGAACTCCACGAAACCATGTTGATCCCAATATATGGAAGGGAGAAACGGCGTAAAACAGATGTTGCGAGCTTGCAAGACAAGCGGATGGCCGAAAATCCGGCATTGCAGACCGCCATAACGCAAATAAACAAGTTAGATGAGAGTGATCATTCGCCATCGTTCGCATCCTTATGGTGACCTGGAACGAACTGTTCATGGCCCCCCACTTTGCTGCCGCCTCTCATGCTTTCCAAAATTTCGTCCGTGATGACGAAGCGCTTTCCGGCCCGATGGGGACCACGTGAAGCCACCGCGTTATTTTGTTCCATAAACTCGAGGATTTCATCTGTGATCACAAATCGTTTCTCCTTTCTTGCTGGCTGAGTTGCCTTTTTGTAGGGCGAAGTAATGCGGTTGAGACCTTCGGGTGAGAGCCTCCTGCCGAGAGAGTTCTTTGACTGTCCGTAAATACGAGAGATAGGGCCGGTCATGGGAGCGGCAATTTGAATAGCTCGGGCGTTGTTCATTTGCAAATCATCGGTAACGCTTCGTGGCATAAGACCGCGCTTCTTGTTTTCCTCCGATTTGTTTCCGCCGCCTGGAGGGTGGGTGACGACGACATAGACCACCACTATGATAACGACCACCACGATAATGGCCACTAAAGAGAGAGAAATCAGTCATGGTTCTCTGAAGCACCGAATTGGAGGGGCACCACATCAGCAGAAACTTACCGCAGATACCCAAGCACATCCATTTCTTCTTGCGAGTGGCCCGCGCCGTCTGTACTGCCACTGCAATCTCCTCGTTGCCCTTGTCGAGATTGTCGACCACCTCCTCACTCGTCTGCTCAATGGCCTGGATCTTGACGTCCTGTTCCACAATCAACGTGTTCAACTGCTCAAACAGCTGCGCCAACTCCACCATTTGCTGCTCAATCCTCTGCAAAGCCTTGTGGCGGTCCTGTACAGCACTGAGCACAGCTCTCGCCTCGCCCACGCGGTTGTTCTGCATCAAGGCTTGCTGGAAGACCTGCGAGTTTCCGCTAGTATCCTCCACGGCAGCCCGGACCTCGTCCTCGCTGGCATCGGGGCGCACAATGCGGTACTGGCGGGCCATCTGGTCCTGCATCTTCTTGCGGAACGAGGACTCGACGCCCTGGTAGTCCTGAATCGCTTGTCGCAATCGGCGGTCAACGCGGCCAACCTGGGCCTGGTTTCGGGGCTGGCGGCCCTCGGGGCTCGACTTGATTTTTCGGACGCGATCGGTTATGGTGCGGTACAAGGCCATGGTCTCGGTGTTGAGTGCATCTAGTTGCCGGCTCGATGAGCTCGCGGATGAATCGGCCTCGGCGAGGCAGCGGTCCTGCAGTCTTCGCAGTTCCCGTAGATTTCCCTCGATCTGTTCGATTCCATTGTCGATTTCTCGGCACTCGTTCAGGATTGCAGTCGGATCACCGGCAAAGGAGCCTCCGTTGTTGATTGAGCTCATCTCCATTGTGTTTCCTGATGAGATGCAATGGTCAATCTGACTGTCTTTTCGACTGTTGTCTCATTCGGAGCTCACCTCCATAGTTTCCTCCGGCATAGGGGGCGGGAGACTGGTCCCTTCCACCCAGCGGGGAATAAGCACCAGCGGCGCCATCCCGTTGGTCAAAGGAAGGGTCTCTTCCACCGTATCTAGACAGTAACCGATGTCAGTAAGGATCAAGAGCACGTGGACGTCGTCGTTATTCGGTGTGCCAGAAAGACTAACCCGTACTGATTGTTGTCCATTGTTAGCGATACACTCTGGAAGGTTGGCAGTGGAAGTAGAAAGATTGGTGAGAAGGATGGAAGATGGGACTCTCGAGATTGCCTGGGCCGGAGCAACGTATCGGTGGAGTCATGATTGTGTAGCAAGACGGTGGATGTGTGAGAAGAAGAACATGTTTTGAAACACTCACACTCATCTTGGGAGGCGGACGCGCACAAGCGCTAAGGCTCTAGAAGGCGCTTAAAGGGGTAGTGGATGTTTTATACGGGTCGAAATCGAAATGAAAGTATAAGTGGGTAAGTAAGTAATGTCCTTTTTCGAAGTGACGATGCTTGGTGAATGCTTATGTCGCGGCGACAGAAAAAGAAATCGAGCCAAAAGATGGTGTGCTAGAGATCAGGTAAGAGTGAATGACCTAGGAACAGAACTAAAAGATGGGAAATTGGGTGTTTGGTAAGAGGGAGAAAGGCAAATTGTCGGGACGGGACCTCGGACTTGCTGGAGCTGAAATGGGTTTGGTTATTTTAGGGAAGCACTGCGCCCGGTGAAGGATCTGGCAAGGAGCCCAAGTACCCAGCGTGGGATTCTCAGGAGTTGATCGAAACGAGCCTAGTGAGCCTACCTGTACTTTCTGGATTCCACACAACCTCCAGACCACCACGAATACACGTGATGAAGTACATAGTAGGTACGTGCGGGTGGCGAGCAAACGAGTGCTCAGCAACACGAACAAATGGCAAAGGAAGTGCAGACCTTCGCACCTTCGTTCGTCAAATGTTGCCTTGCACAGCAGGAGCGCACTGTGTGCTTGCTTGGGGGTCAGGGAGTTCTTGTCATCTGGTTGTTGGTTGGTTGGTGGATTGGCTAGTTGGCTGGCTGACTGGCTATGCAGTGTAGCTGGTTGGATCGTTCGTTGGTTGATGACAATCCATCCGGCTTTGATGTCCAATTATTTGCCAAAATCACTGTCCAAGGTGCGACTTTGCCCCATGCGACCTGGCAGTAGTACGGTTTACACCTAGTAGTGTACGTGTACCAACAGTCAACTTCTTGTCGGCACGCTGAGAAATGGTGTTACCTACTTGGAGACGAGACGCTTAATACGGAACAATGTCCACAAAGATGAGACGAGCGTCGATTGTTTTTTCAGGGGAGCCGAGCATTTGCATGGATTGGATTCAGGAACGCTCAACGCTTGGCAAGAATTAAGTGGAGTTTCTGTATCATTGCGCCGCCATGGATTCGAGATTCGACGATTCGTTGGATTCTGGACCCGCCTGGCCCCGCTTATTCCGTCTTGGTGCAGGGTTCGGGCAGGGACCCGGGGACACTCACTGCATGGCTGCCCCGGCATCTTTTGACTTGGCACCGAGCTTGAATCGAGAGTTTCAGACCAAAGATCGACAGGTGCATACATTTACATGGTCAAAGTATCCTGCGCGCCTGTCCTGACTGGCTTCTTGCACAATCCGTTTCATATCGACCGTAGCTCTAGCTGTTGTCGTGTAGGTATGCATTTACTATCGCCGAGCGCAACACTTCTTCTCCCCAAAATCCGGCCATGCTCATCCTATGCTTACTTAACCTTACTGTATCAGTCCACCACATCTTCAAACTCGCTTCAGAGAACAGCGTAAGCTGACACATAGCTCACGCTGAAGTCGCTTTGCCTCTCAACCAGGTTACTTCGCTGATACTGGATAAACTGAAACTTCCCCTTACTTCCCCCGGACTGATCGCCGCCCAAAAACTCCTCCAAGGCTGCCAATACAACTCCAATAGGGTGTCTGCCACAGACCGTGTTATGGGTCCCTTTGAGAGTGCTGTAGTACTCACTGTGGTCGCCAGTCTTGATCGCGTCGATTACCATATCATCGAGTGCCTTGATGACCTCGTGGATAGGCACGTCTGCGTCTCTCGGTTCCGTTCCATCCACTTTGTTCTCGAAGATCGGCTGGATCTTGAGAGTCGCCCACTGTGCGTCCTGGTCACGAACGAGGCCTTTGTATAATTGGGGCCGATATCGGTAATTCTTCCCCCAATGACAAAAGTCAGATGAGATGATGAATGCGTTCTTGGGGTCTGCCAGATATGGTGCAAGGAGCGCGCCAATGGTTTCCTCTCCGTCTGCAGACAGGTCTCCCACCAAGATCGGCACGATGGGCGGGAACTGGCTACTGTCGCTTCCGAGCGTCTGCTCAAGTCTCTTCCACAGGTAGGGCAGGTGCATCTCCAGACAATGCTCCTGGATTTCATAATCTGCTGGGATCGTGGAGAACTTTTTGGTTTTCATCAACTCGTCAATGGCCTCGCCATCCACGGCCAGATCGCCAAAAGGGCTGCTGTATTTTCCGAACGCCGATAGGGCGCAGCCCTTTAGATAGAAGGTATGTGATGGACCGAGGAGGAAGACACGCTTCACGTTTGCGAGGTCGAGGACTTTGTAGGCCCATGCAGCACATGGCCCAGAGTACGAGTAGCCAGCATGCCTGTTGACGGCCGGTTAGCTTTTGCAAAAAGCATACGAGCTGGTGGATCATTGATGGGGAGCCTGACGGAGCAATAATCACACGAGCACCTGGGATGGGGAGGTCCTTCCCGTCCAGCTTGTTTGGGACACGACTCATATACTCGTCGAGCTGGAAGGATAGCCGGGCAGCACTACCCAGGTACCAGGAGCCAGCATGGCTAGCCGGTCGCGTTTCTTGGGAGTCCGCCATGTTCGACCGAGGTCCGCAAGCCTCTTGGGGTCTGCTGTAGGAGTATGATACGGGAACGGCTTGTACACAAAACCAACGAGAGATCAATGCGAAAGAGTGTGGTTGGTAGGCAGTTCACGATCCCTACTCGCAAAGACGCCCGGAATATGTGTGGTGAAAACTATCATCGCCAGGAGGAAAGCGCAATGGGTAGGTATTTATCAGTTCTACCAGTGCCCCGCATTGTCGGCAGGATGACGTCCTCTGTAAACACAGAGGTGCGCTTACACGGGAGAGCTAAGGCTGTTAAGCACGCTAAGAAAATAGGCATACCAGGTATCCACCTAACAGAGGCAGGATGCGGGGTTTATTGTGTAGTCGGACAGTTAGGCGAGGCAGGTCAATAGGCATGCATAACCCGTCGCGTGATCTTGTGATCTCCGGTGTTTACAATGGAAAACAAAAGCCGTCGATATCTTCGTTTATTTGGCTCTGCTGGGGCTTATACTCTACCCAAGCCCAAGCGGAAGTCACATGCCACGGACATTACTTCCTCTTCTCCTTCAATATCTCCGTTCCGTGGAAAGGGCTACCATATTCCTAAGGTAGCCTGTCCGTTCGGCACGATGGTGTTGGTATACCCCATTCCATAGGTATCCTTCTTGCACCGTGCCACCGAGCTCATCGGCTGTGTAGATTGATCCTCGTCCGGCCATATATCAAGTGGTGTTTTCCATGCCGGATTCTCGATTATCCTCGCGGTTTATTGCTGTAGCAGCACGGAAACTATTGCTGCCTTGTAGTTGAGAGTATCCTTTCAAGGTATGTGCCGCCGCGTGGTCCCGTCAGACTTGACAAGCCATCCGCTCGCAAGCATATAAGCAAAAAAAAGAGAAAACGTAGAATATACCAAAACACGAACAGAATTTTCGCCAAAATGCGCCCACAGCCAGCAATCATCAAGACCCTGGAGAACGCCTTATCCAAACCCATTTGAAGACAGTGGTATCTTTACATCCTTTCCCATGCTGATAACCTGATGGGACCATTACAGGCCTTTAGCCAACCCAGACTCTTCTCTCAGCACAAGCCAAACATCTCCTGTGTTCTCCCAAATTGCTGATGGAACAACTGAAACAAACCATCTTCCCACAAGCTTCGCATTGAGATAAGCTACTGTCGTATTCGTCGTTCCCTTGTTCATATCCGGAGCCGTCCTGGGTAGTAGAAATATCCATCATATCGACGTCGTGGTCACCTCCTCCTTCTCTTCTTCTCTTGACATGGCTGTTCCCACTGCTACCATTACTGTTCCCACTCGGCCCTGCCCCACAGTCCTCGCAGCTTGTAGGAGTATCTAGAAGGATGTTGCCAGAGTTGTCCGATGATGTTGCAGGAAAAATGTGGGAGGAACTTGTCGTGACTGGGGCAGCAGGGAGGTTCCAGAAGCTGTGAAGTGATCGCTGTTGACCGCGACTGGCTTGCTGTTGCTTTTGGGGTGTGACAGTCGGCCTTACGGCGTTGACAGTGCTTAGTTGCTGCTGCTGGTGGGGTTTCAAGGCTGGGCTTGCGGCTTGGTGTTGTTCGTGGTGTTGCTGCTGTTGTTGCTGCTGTTGGGCTGCATACAGCAAGCTCAGGGTCCGTTCTGGAACCGCGTCGAGTAAGCGTTAGTCCCGTGTCCGATGGAGGGAGAGAAGAACTGGGCAGACGCACGATGAACTTCTTCCTCAGAAGGCCGGTTGTTGCGGTACCGCTTCATGGTGCGGCTATGAAGATGGGATGGCGTGGATAAAGGAATAGTAGAAAATGACTTCTGGCTGTTGATGACAGAAGCAATTGCGCTCAGGTCGAAGCCATGGTCGTTGGATGTTCCGGCTGATGGGGACGGCAAAGTTGAGCTCAAGGAGAGGTCAGACTCTGATCGTTTGCGCTTGAGGAACATGTCGCAAAGCGGCGTTGATCTGAGGACAGAATACAGAGCAAGTTGGAGAAATATATGATTGGCAATGGCCAGTTGCCAGTTTTCCCCCCCCCCCAAGAAAAATTTAAAAAAAGTTTGTCGGCTTGTGACGTGGTTTGTAAGTTGTTTGGAGCACTACAGTTGAAAGTTGAAGTAGAAAATCAGGAAGTCAAAGCCACCTTACGCGACCCATCGCGATCGGTAAGTGGTCCGAGGTGGTGTTCAAATAAGGAAACGTTGAGCCTTGGCAGTGCAGTGTTGATGTCACAGTCCCTGCCACAAATAAACGCCCCGCAGATTTTTTCCCCGCAACAAAGGCCAAAACTCAACATCGTCACTTAAATATTTGTGATGGCAGCCTTGCAGTTGTGCCTCTCGACTGCCATCACAATTATATAAGACTGCTTGAGCGACCGAATTGCCAGCTTCGGTTACTTGTATCCTTTTGGAACATAGCCTAGTGATGTAGTGGTCCGCTAGCGCCGTGACAATATTCAACCTCTTAGCAAAAAATAATCATAGATATATTTAGTCTATCAATAGATAAATCAAAATGCGATTGAGGAAAAGAAACTCTGTTTACTTATTATTGTTTGTAGTTGAGTAATTGGAATGTAAATTTTAAGTTGCATTAAGATAAAAGTTATAGTGGACTTATCTCTTTAATTAGTTTTCCTGCTATTTTTTCTTCCACTGGGGTGAGTAACCAATGAAGTTGTATAAGCACTAAAGTGCAACTATTTAGCAATTTCACGCTACATTTTCGGTATCTTAGTAGTGCGTTATAACTGTCACGGCACGTAGATCTCGAGAGCAGTGCACACGAATAATCTAACGAATGTAATAAATAATTAACTTTGAGAAATACAAGAAGGAAGGGAAAGTGCTGCCTCTAGCTGGCATAGTTAAATATAGAAATAAAGTAGGTCTAGGGATGAAAAGAATGGACTGTCACGTGAATAAATGTACCTAATCAGAATGTATAGATCTTAGCCATGATAATAACTCTTAACAAAAGCACTAACTATTAAGAGTTGCAGCTCTTAAATATTTTTGTAGGCTGAGGAAAAAAAAGTAGTAAGAAAGCCAGTTATATCAAAGATTGACATTGGCTATATAGTGTGCATTCCGAGTTCTGCCTTGCAAGCAGAACATCGTCCTATCTTTTGTAGGTTTAGCCGTCTGGGTATATGCACCCCAGCCTGTCATAAGTTAAGAAGATAGCACTCTTTAGTAGATTAAAATCAGAGTTAGTATTGTAGTTGAACTTTGCAGCTCGAATTCTCAACCTCTTCATATGATAATAATATATAACTCTCTTTATTAATGAATACTAATATATACATATCCAGACCTT